CCCTCTGACTGAAACCCACCTGAATGGTGCTCAAATATTTCAAGACTACCCTAGGGGTAAAAATCAGCAGGCCAAACAACTCAAACCTATAGCTACAGGGTGGCCTTCTGTATAAAAAGGAGTTTGCTTGGTGTTTAACGGTTTTTTTGTTAGAGTGAAAACCACTTATTTTAACCAATAGGGAGTATATAACTAAAAAGTCTATCAAATAATGAAAACTATAATTCAGCTTTATATTGTAGATAGAAACAGAGAGGGAAAAAGGTTACAGAGAAGAACAAAAGCGGGAGGGAATGACAGGAAGAAGTGTCAGCCTTAACCAGACCTAGAAGTTAACCTTGAAGGTATTACCACCTCTCCCACTGGGGAAAAAAAATCAGTCCCAGGCTAGATCCTGTAGGTAGTTTGGAGGATCCCATTCTCTGACTCAAGCAATCCTCTTGCCATCATGCCTGGCTAATTTTTAATTTTTTCTTTTTTTTTTTTATTTTTTTTATATATTTTTTTTATTTCAGCAAATTATGGGTGTACATATGTTTAGGTTACGTGTGTTGCCCTTGGTTCCCCCCCCCCCACCGAAGTCCGTGTTTCAAATATGTCCATCCTTCGGGTAGTGCGCATTGCCCTCCTTGTGTATACAAATACCCCTCCCCTCCTCCCTCTTCCCCCTCCTCCCACCACCCTCCCCCTTCCCCAGCGTCCAATAGATGTTGTTCTGATATGTGCATTTATGTGTTGATTAGTTAATACCAATTTGATGGTGAGTACAAATGGGTCCCGTTCTGCTGCTCTTGTGGTGCTCCACTTTGGATAATGGGCTTAAGTTTAATCCAGGAAAGTGTAAGAGGTACTAGATCACTGTCATTTCTTATGATTGAGACCTTCCCTTTGGAGCCCCAAAATCCATAATTTTTTCTGAGTGATGGGGTCTCACTATCATGCCCAGGCTGATCTTGAACTCCTGGCCTCAAATTATCTTCCCTCCTAGGCCTCCCAAAGTGCTAGGATTATTAGGTATGAGCCACTGTGCCTGGCCAATCCTTGAATTTATTATGCCACTCTGGGATAATGCGTTAGAGCTTCCTAGAGTCTTCAATGAAACCTTATGTAATTTTTTTTTCTTAGCCTCTGGAACTAAGATGACAGGTAGAAAGATTTACTTATTAAAGTTTCAATCCTCCCAATAACTCATTGGATATGCCCTTAAAGTATGTGGACATGAAAGAGTTCTGCCTTGAGAGTTCTATAGCAGTTTTTGTCAGATTCCACAATAAGAGAAATTCCTCTTTAAAAAAATTGTCTAGAGATACAATACTAGTGAATATTTATAATCCTTATGTGTCAGGCATCTTGTTTTTACATGTTATGTCCTTTCATCCTTGCAACCCCCCCCCCCGGCACTTCTATATCCTTGTGAGGTTATAATTACTGTAATTAATAGTATCCTCACAAATAACATTATCCTCAGTTTTATACATAAGGAAATTGAGGCTCAGAGAGGTTAAGTAACTTACCTTAAAATCACCCATCAGTGAGCTGTCAACGCATGTTTCCGGTTCTAGAACCCATGTTCTTAACCACTAGATCATGCTGCCTCCTGGTAGGGATGTGTGGGAAAGACTGCTTTTGTTGGGATCCACACCTATCCCTGTTAGAACCAGGCACAACATGCTGCAAGAGGTGTTACTTACCTTGTTCTAGATGGGGCCAAAAGGCCTGGCTGCAGTTGTCTCCTGGAGGGTATTTGCTTAGATATTAGTTTTGCTATAATAGGTCTTATAAATGGCTTTTTAAATTTAATTTTCATTTTTAGCAGCAATATATGTATATGGTTTTAAAACCCAAATACCACAAAAACAGTTCCTCCCTATTCCTAAATTTGGTTTCCCAGAGGCAAACTTCTAAAAAATTATTTCAGCTATTTCTTCTGTTAATTAAATCCTATTTCTGGGCTATTTCTCAAAATGGTCAAATACTCCAGTCATCTCTTTGTTCTCTGTACTTTTTTTTTCAGGGCAACAATTCCACTTCTGGAATTCCTTACCATTGTCTTTTGCCTCTCTGTTGAATCCCCTAATTCCTGCATCCTATGTCATCTTCTTTCTTTCTATTTCCTCACTTTGTGGCATTTCTTAAGAAATACATCTTGAGAAAAAGTTATGAAACACAGTATTTTCGAGTCTTTAAAGTGTCTTTTGATATTGTTGTTTAGCTGGACATAGATTTTTGGATAAGATGAAAACTTTTGAAGCCATTCTTCCATTGTTTTCTAACTTTCAGTGTCACTGTTAAGAAGTATCATTCTGATTCTAGAGCCTTTGAATAGGACCTATTATTTTCTTCCCAAAAGTTTTTTGGAATTGCCTTTATCCCCCAGTACTCTGAAATTTTGCAATTCATGTACTTTAGTCCTTTTTTTCTTTTTTCATTTTGCTGGGCACAGAGTAGGCCTTTTCAATCTGGTAACTCATGTCTTTCAGTTCTGGGAAATTTCTCACACAATTTCTGGTATAACTTTCTATCCTCCTTTCCCCCTGCTCTGTCTTCTAGAACTCCTACTAGCTTGGGTACTATGTTCTCTGGAATAATCCTCCAATTTTCTTATTGTCTCTCATTTTTCATCTCTTTGACTTTGTTCTAGTTACTTGTAAAATGTTCTCAATTTTATCTTCTAAAACTTCTATTTGAAGTTTTATTTACATTTCTTATTTCAAAGAACTGTTTCTGAAATTTTTAGAGAGCATCCTATGCTTATTTCCTATGTACAATCAATATTTTCTCCGAGACATTACTCTTAGACCTATGGTGTCATTCATCTTGTGACAAACAATGCTTCTTGGGAAAAAATTTTACCACAAATATTTTTTGTTTACGTAGGGTTTAATCAAAAAAAGTGTGTCTTTTAGTTCCCATGTTGTTAAGTAAACGTAACATAAAATGATTTCTTCAAAACTTGTCAAATATTATAAAATGTTGGCAAAAAACAGAAAAAGTAGCTTATGAATGCTTGTGGCCATGTTAAAAATGGAGCTTAAGTGTAAATAACTGTGAAATAAAAAGACACGGAGATGATTCCAGCAATCAAACTTGGCCAAACCACAGGGCTTTTGGCAACGGCCTGGAATGAATGTGAAATGTGGAAGGCATTGCCCACTTGAATCAAAGTCCAGATGCTGCTGATTCCTTTTTTCCATTTTCAGTTCACCATAGTTTTGTGGGGGCTTTGTTTTGTTTCCATTGTTGGTGGTTTTGCTTTGTTTTGAGGTCATTAGGCCTCTTAGCACGAATTTAGTCTCTGGAAAATATTCCATGTGAAAACACCCCATGTATGTGTGATTTATTTAAATGACACAGGTGTTTTTATATTGACAATCTCTTATTGCAAATGATTAATGGCACCTTTTATCAGTTGTTCTGTTTAAAAAATGCTTTCATTTGCACTCTCTCATTAAAAATCCTATGAGGAAGCGTACATTAATCCTCATTTGGACAAAGTTTTGAAGTTTGGAAACACAAATACATAGTACAAGGGTTATGAGCCTCATTGTTCTCATCTGAAAATTAGAATGATACTTAAGTCATTGTTTTGTGTATGTTGTATCACTTTATATAGGTAGAACGACTAATGCATCTGATACACAGTAAGCACTAAAAACGTGGTTGCCATTGTTTTAATACTAGAACATTCCTTATACTGGATTCTAGCAGTGTTTTAATGCAGTGCCTCAGTGATCAAGAAACTGACTCCTTGAGCTTTATAAGTTTGGTTTTTTTTCTCGCTCACTTGGTACCATCTCTGCCAAACCGACAACTGTCATCCTTTTGCTTTTCACTGGTTTATAAAATATCTTTTGTGTGTTCTGCATTCTTAATTACAAACTTCTCAAAGATGAAATTATCTTCCAAAAGCCTTGTACAAATCTGGGACCCATAATACTATCAGACAACTCAGGTTGCTTTTAAATTCAACTTTGACTGCCAAGTCTGCTGCTAAAAGGAAATCTTAATTTCAGGCAAACAGTAATTTGCTTTACTGTTTGAATTTCTTAAAAGGATTTGCTCTACTTAAATGTTTTATGAATAAAATTTATCAAATACTATACAATTTCATAAATAATTCTTAAGGATAGAATCAAAGGTGCTTATGATTCCAAGGGATCTGGATTTTTTTTTTTTTAATAAAGGGTTAAGGGACTAGCCAATATGAATCTGGTTTATGGAGGGAGAGGAAAGTCTCAATATTTGTGTTCAGGCTCTTGAGGCAACATTTTCTTTTCTGGAGATACCATGGGTTGTCTGTGGATCACAGGAACCTAGTTCCAGAAATAGGAGATATAACTAGGAAGTCCTTGCAAAGAAACATTTTTCTCGGTTCCCATAGCTTAGTTTAGTAGTTCTCAAAGTTTCAGTGGGCACAGGATTCACCTCAGAAACTTATTACAAATTCTTTCCTGAATTCCCTCAAAAATTGAGTCAATAGCTATGGTGGGGCAAGATAAACTGCCACCCTATCATGTGATTCTGATATAGGCAGTTCAAACCCCACAATGAGGTAGATGGCCAAGTCCAAGGTTATATTCAGGGTTGGGATAATAGGGAATAAAAAGGAATCTTTCCACTTCTTGGCCCCAGGAAATAGCTCAGATATTTGAAGAAAACTGAGGCTTCCTTATTGCTGGAATTAGTGTGGGTCCACCACATACCTCTCTTTATGTCCATTCACAAAGAGCCCAGTTATTTGTACTAATTTGGAGTTTCTGAAAGACAGCCATCATTTTTGTCAACTTAATGCTCATACAAAACATTAGACAAGCTGTTTAGAAAGTAACAGTAAGAAAGCATTTTTCTTAACCTGCTTCTATTAATAGAACATATGTTATCATTCACTGTCATCATGATTTCAAAACAGAATCAGGAGGGATGACAGTATAACAAGGGAAATGTTGCTTCCTACCCCTCAAGAATATATTACAATTATTTTTTTATTTCCTCCTACACAGCTATGAATTCCAGGTGAAACCCAAAAACCCGCTTGGTGAAGGCCCGGTCAGCAACACAGTGGCATTTAGCACTGAATCAGGTAATCCCATCAACAGTAATTCCCAACAAAGGTATAAAGGGCCACAATGGAGCAATGTTTTGCACAAGGAGCTTTCTTGAAATCCAGCTAAACATTGTGTGTAGTCAAAGAGTTTCCTGAATTTCTAAAAAAACATTCATGGAAAAAAGCAAATTGATGAAGATACCCTTAGAGAAGCACAATTTAACTTTTCCTCACTTACCTCGATGTCAGAAAAGTTTGACAGCTAAAAAGAAAAACACATAATCTATACTCTTTCCCTTGTATGCCTAGAACAAAATATCAGTCAGTATATACAGAAAGGGAACTCATGTGATAGTTTTTATGATAAGCAGCTGTGAAATTTTCTATTAGACCTTCCAAATGCCAATTTAACAAGATACGTCCGTACAAACAGCATTATTATTTGCATAATTTTTATGCAAACCTCTGTTCATGGTCTCTTAGTGATTCTGCCATGAATAGTTTTTGTATGAAACTAAAAGGAGAAGCTTCTGAAATTGAAGTGAAGGCTGGAACACCAACAAAGGCTCCTAACTACTCAAACCACATCTAACAGATACAGCTGAATACCTACCTGGCAGGAGATTATTCAATCAAGAAAAATTTCCAGAACAAAACTTTCAAACTCAGTCTTTAGGAAAAGCGTACTATTTTGCAAATAAGATTTCTTAACAATCATAAGCACCCATCTTCACTATGCCATTGGAATACTGGGACTTTACCTAATAATGTCTGACTTCTGTGTTTGTTATTTCTCCTCAGCGGACCCAAGAGTGAGCGAGCCAGTTTCTGGTAAGTACTTGTGTCAATAGGAACACAACTACATGCTTCTCTAAATTGATTCAACTCAACAGGCATAGCAGAATTTGAACCATGATTTCACTTTTTTCCATTTAGTCTTTTTAGAATATCAATCAGGTGTGAAGGTTTACCTAACACATTGAATAACAGAGAGCCTCTGATGCTCTGAAAAGAAATTAGACATTTCAAAACTTGCTTTTACTCATGTACCAGGCCAGCTCAAATTTTGTTTAATAAGTCAAGATATAATAACCTCATTTCCACTTTTAATAACCAGTCACATTAAAGCAGATGCTTAAATTTTGTAATATACTACAAAAAGAAACCGACATTTGCTCCTAAAGCACACTATCTACATCTAGCACTGCAGAGGCTACTCAACACCTAAACCTACTGCTCTGTGATTTATCTCACTATTGACAGAAACTTATCTAGGGGTTTACTTGTTTAAACCTTTGTAATATTTTTGGCTACAATATTTAGCACTGGAAAAGGCCAAGTATCAGCAAGTTGACAATAAACTTTGCAAAACTGCCTTTTTAAAGATTTTAGAACACCTCTTCAGTACCCAAGAATCAGATACTAAACTCAAACCATGTGTTTTCCTCATGCAGCAGGAAGAGATGCCATCTGGACTGAAAGACCCTTTAATTCAGACTCTTACTCAGAATGTAAGGGCAAACAATATGTCAAAAGGACGTGGTATAAAAAATTTGTAGGAGTGCAGCTGTGCAACTCTCTCAGATACAAGATTTATTTGAGTGACTCCCTCACAGGTAAGTGGGCTACCTGCCAGCCCTGTTTTGAGCCTTTGACTTTAGGGTATGTTTTGCAGCATTCTCCTTTCCTATGGAGAGTTCCAGGCACTAAGGAGTGATGTAAATACAAGTTTGCCTCTGAGCAAGATGTTACTGAAATACTTATTATCCTGGAAAGCAAGGATTTAAGACATGCTATTAGAAGGTAAATAATAAAAATGCAATTTGAAACAGTGCTACCATGGCAAACTGAATGTACAGTCACTAAGCATGTTCAGGCTCAATTTTGTTACAATCGTCCAAGGATAAAAAACCTACTGATAATAAAAGGAGTGTATCTAACAACAATGGAAGGAATATGCCATCTTTAAGACGTCAGAAGGGCTATAACCCCTTGCTCCATACCCAATACGTTATAACTTTCTATATTCATTCATACTGTAATAATTTTTAACAAACATATATATAAGGCTTGCTCCAACATAGAAAGGTAGATATCTGTTTGTTTGGTCATTCAACAAATATTCTTATCTACTTTATGACAGACACTGTTCTAGGTGCTGGAGACAAAGCAGCAAAAAAGACACATTTCTTTCTTTTATATAGCTTATCTCTTTTCTTAGTAGGAAGAAATAGACAATAAATACATAAGATAGAAATTTCATATAGGTACTTTGAAGATACTTTTTAAAACAGTGAGAGAGAATGGCTGAACAGGGAAGCTCCTTCAGTTAGAATGGTTAAAGAAGCCCCCTCCGAAAAGGTAACACTTACGTTAAGAAAACTATGAGAAGGCACCAACTGCACAAAGGTCTAGGGATAAAGCATTTAGTGGCAAAGTGCAAAAGCCTGAGGGAGAACACACCTGGCCAGTTTCATTAGTGTGGCTGACAGTAAGGGGAGGAACAGGCAGGCAGGTAAGGACTTTGGATTTTATTCTTAGTACAATGGGAGACTGCTGGAAAGATTTATGGAAGTTAACATCATCTGACTTACATTTTTAAAACATCACTAATCTCTGAGGAAGAGAGGAAGACTAGAGGGAGGTAAGAGTAAAAGCAGAGACACCAGCTGGAAGACTATTCCATAGTTCAGTCCGGACAAATTGCTGGCTTAACTAGGATGATAAGGAATAGGTGAAAAAATGTGTTAAGAGCAGGCAACATGATTATTTGAAACAATTTGATTATTTCAGAACTATCATATATCAAAGAAAGTAAGATAAGATAGTATAAGAAAGTAACACTGTTCTATCCTTTTTATTTCTGTTCTTCAGGAAAATTTTATAACATAGGCGATCAGAGGGGCCATGGAGAAGATCACTGCCAGTTTGTGGATTCATTCTTAGATGGACGCACAGGACAGCAACTCAGTTCTGACCAGTTGCCCACCAAAGAAGGTATGTTTTCTGATCCTCCTCATAAGTAACAGAGTTTTACAGATTAACCCAGAAAGAAATCAAGCTGAGGAAAGCAATCCATTTAAAAAGAATTCTGTGGTACTACTGCTCGACTTAGCTGGCTAGGAGAAAATGAAGACTTCAATGTAAGTTTCTCAAATTAGAAAGTTAGAGCCAAGAGAAATTACACAGACACATATAAATGAATTCTACTTCAAGAAAATCTGAATTTGCAGAAGCAGCTATAAAAAAAGCAGTGTTCTCCAAACTTACATCACTCATGTATTACCTTTATGGTTTTTGTCATATTGAGCACACCTGTGTTTTTTATTTCCTTAAAATTTTTAACAAAAACTTTATTATTACCATAAATGGAAAAAAAAAGTATTACTTGCCTTATAAATAACTATATAAATATAATTAAAATAGAAAATTTCTTCTGAGAAATAACCTCTCCAAGATCCATCAGCACCAAGCTGTGTAATGAGGACTGAAAAAGAATGAAAATTCTTGTCTAAGCAGTGTGGAACAGGGTAACTTGTCCATATTACTGAGCAATCATCAGTTCCTTAAATACTTTGAACTATTTGATTGGATTTTTCAGTACAGTGACACATTTTGTTCACTGGCACTTAAAAAACCAACCACACTAAAAGGTGACTTAAGATCTGTGAACATATTAATGGTCAGTTGAAACTGCTCTCACACTACCAACCATCCCATCCTAACTTGTTATGGCAAATGTCAACAAGTTTTTGGGGGTGCATGATTTTAGCCAGCCATCACTACTTCATGAAATGCATCAAGGCCTATATTGCTATCAGTTTTCTAAATTACCGTCCTTCGCCCAGAGTAACCTAGCCAGTCAATGACATCCTTCTGCCTATGAGCAATGAGGGCAAAAATATAATATAGCAGCTTTAAAACTAAACTATTTTCCCTCTTAGGCTATTTCAGAGCCGTTCGCCAGGAACCTGTCCAATTTGGAGAAATAGGTGGTCACACCCAAATCAATTATGTTCAATGGTATGAATGTGGGACTACAATTCCTGGAAAATGGTAGATGCTGCACTTGGTGCTCAAAAGTACCTTCTGTTTCACCATGGCAAAAAGATCATTGGAAACACTACGGTATTTGTCACATTCATTTAAAGCTATTTTGTTTATTATGTATAAAAGTCTACAGTCTAATTAATAGCACTATTAGATGTTTATTATTAGAAAAGATTGCTGAGAGTATTTATCAGGTTTTACAAAATCATTTTAAGAAAGCAAGATATTGACATTAACAGAAAAACATTTTTGGGGAAGCTGGCTCCCTACTCATGGTATTTTCAGAGATCATTTGTATATTATTTATCACACTGTTGTAATGATGTTTTGAGATACTTTTATAACAAAATTAACATCAAAAACTTATACTTTAAAAAAAATATTTACTTTTATTGATGCGTACTCTTTCTATGGGTGAGTTAATTCCATAAATCTCAACTTAGTTTAACTTATTGGATATCTTCAGAATATATATCTTAGGGGAAAAGGTCCTAATATTCATGTTTATTTAAACTTCAATTTTTTTAGCAACAGCTGAGTAGCTTTTCTGAGGAGTTTAAATAGTTACACAGTCATGCTAATATTCATTTCCTTAAAATATCTGCAAGTTAAAAAGATTGAATCAGAAAATTTCACTTCAGCTAAAAAAAAAATGGAGAATCTGCTATATTCAGTTTCAAAAAATATATTTCTCTATCTGCAATTATGTTACAATGTCTGAATATACTTTGTCAAACTATACCTTTAAGAAATTATCTTCATATTGTTTTTGTGATTCCGATCAAGCTGTATGTAGAGACTGAATGTGAAGTCTGAGCACAAAAAGATAATGCATGATGAAATCCTTGACATTTTATAGGATATTTACTATATATATTTATAGAGAAGACCTCTATGAATGAATGTATCAGAGGATGTTTTTGTAACTGTTTCAATCAATCTGTAATGAAAACCTGACTCATTTTCATTAAAAAAGGTAGTTTTCCTTCAGCTGGGGAGGGAGATAGGAATGCGTGCTGCCCTCATCCTGAAAGGACCTTTCCCTGTGCTTACCTTTCAACATGCTTTGATTTTATCAATGCTACATTTTGTATTTTTCAAACAAGTACAAATTCTGCAATAAAGAGATGTAGTTTTTTTTTTTTAAGACTATTTTATTTTCTGAATGGTTCATCAGTAGGTAACCTTTTTATCTCTGTAAGAAGGAAAAGCACAAAGTTAACCTTTCTTCCTATGAAATCTAAAAAGTTTTGTTTTAAACCAATGATTGATTGTTAAATGCATTTCTTCCAAAATCAGGATAGATAAAAACCAAATGGCACTGTGTTTCTCTGAATGGAAATGTCTATACTCCATTTTTAAACCAAAATATATAATATTAATGACTAAATTTCAAGACGACTAATGATTCGATCATCATCTTTATTAACCTATTGATGTTAACATTTTATACATAATATCTAGTTGTCTTCTCAAACGGCTCTATTTTAGTACATCATGTTAATAGTAAAAAGCCAAGTAAGAAGGCTCAACCTAGCATTTTAATATCCTCTGAACAAAGGAAGCTAGAAAGTCAATCACTTTACACACATGTAAGGAGTAGTGTTCCAAAATAACTAGGAAGCTGCTACATTTGCAGGGAGGAAAAAAAAAAAAACCTTTCATTTTGGTCTATGTTCCAGCAAATTATACTTTCAATTAAGAGCAACAATGATATCATAAAAAATGCTCTGCTTTTTAAATTTCTGAACTTCAATACAAATTAAAATAGTATTGGAGTCTTTTGGGAGGGAAATAGCTAGCAGCTACATTGATCAGTGTAGCTGAGCCTCCTTATCGATACCCAGGTCCAGGTTGGGTATAGCCCTGACCAAAGGGAGGACGGTTACGTGCATAAGGGTTAGGCCCACTTGGAGGAGGGGTCATGGTACTTCCAGGAAGTGGACTAAAACCTGGTCTTGGCTGATAGGCCCCAGGTTGGCTTGGAGCCATTCCAGGTTGAGAGGCAGGGGCCACAGTATAATTAGTAGGCTGAGAAGTTTGGGTGGTATAAGTTTGTGCAGGATAGTTGCTCGCCTGGTACTGCTGTGGTGGCTGAGCAGGCAGTTGTTGAGGCTGACCAGAAAAGGCAGGAGCTGGCGCCTGGGAAGTTGGTTGCTGGCCATATCCCTGGAACTGCTGAGGTTGTTGGGGTCCACTCTGCTGACTATAGCTTGCTGAAAAGGCAAAATAGATAACATTTTATTTCTCTTTGGATGAAACTCTTCCAGAGAATTAGTCTTACTGGTATGGACCAAAAATGATGAGAAATTTAACAAATATTTATGTAACAAGCAGAGTAGTAGATTCCACCGCATAATACTACTTCGAAACCAAACAGTTATTCAAGAGGCATTTTCTACAATTTTTTAAACCCTCTAATCTTAAACTGAAACCACTATATATACCACCACTAAATATATATATGTATCTTCATTACAACTGCTTCAATACTATATTAATCCCTGAGAGCAAATTCCTGCTCTAGCATAATTCCTAGAACAGAGGAGATGCTCAAATAATAAAGGAATTATTGTACTTTCTAGGAAGATGAAAAATGCAAAAGCTAAATAGTCATTAACTAGGTTTTGAGAGACCTATTTAACAACAGTACCAAATAAAAATACATTGCAAAGAACGAACATTTTAAAATGAAACAATACTATGTTTATTGTACTAATGAAATGTTTTAAAGTTTATAAAAAAGCCATTTAATAAATACTGAGTACCATTTTCATAATCCTTTCATTTCTTTTAGATTTGGTATCTGATATTTTTGCCTTTACAACTCAAAATTTTGACTTAGCAGTATAGCATGACATATAAAAAGCATACCATATTGCCCCATAAAATCAACATCGATATTATTTATTAGGATGTAATGTTTTTTTAAAAGAAAGTCTGCTTCACTGAAAACTTTTATCTCTACCATGAAACACACCTGCAGCTACTTGCAATGAAACCTCTCCATTGACTGGAATCCTGTCAGCATTAAATACCAGATACATAAGAAAATTATTAAAATATGTACAACCCTGCATTTAACAAAAAAAAAAGGATTGAATGAATTTGAGTATATTCTGAACTCACCTTGAACCTGGGTTCAAAATTTACTCATGAAAGAAACCTTTATGACACAGTCCATGAACAAAACTGGAAAAGGTCACAGAGGGAAACTGGCAAACCAACAATGTCAAAAATGGTCCAATGTTAACACCATCACCACCATCGCCACTTAGAGTCTCCAAGTAGAGTATTTAGTTGACTATTTCCGTATCTCTCAAATTCAAGTTAATAGGACTAGTAGGATCAGAAATACAAAGATAATAACTTGAAAAAAAACTAAATTTTACTCAGAGTGAAGTCCCTGACTAAAATTATTATGAGCAAGCTTGGTTATTAATAAGTAAATCAAATATCTAATGCATTTTACTCATGAGAGCATCTGATACTGAAATCAATTCATGAAAAAGCTTGAATGTCATAAAATTTCTCCTATCCTCTATATAAAACTTTTTAACTTAAATTTTTTACTATAAGTTTTTAGAGAAACAGATGGATTCAACTTTTTTATACTGAAAATGTCTATTCAATTAAAATTGTGAGCAAAAAAAGACAAGAAAAATAGCTACCTTTTCATCCTAGCCAGTGAAATCTAAATTTTTTTAAAGGACTCTGGAAGCAAACACATCCTTAATTACTGCTCAGGAGAGACAAAACCCCTAAGAGCTGAAGATGCCATTTCACCAGCAGTCCAGTAGTCTACCGATCATAATGTGGCAATGCTTCTATTATGTGTATAGTCTCCCTTCCACACATATCCCCCAAAATAAATAACTTTTGGTGAGCACCACTAGAAATTGCATGAAATGGAAATCACGTGGTTTTTCAATAAACAGTCTAGAAAAAAAAGTCATATGGTCTACAAAGCCTAAAATATTTACTATCCATCCTTTTATGGAAAAATCCTGCCAACCCTTGGTCTAGGTTGGAGAACACAGAATGATACAGAGAATTACTTAACCGCAATGACAGGAGTACTAGATTATGGCCCAGCTCCTCACTGAATGGCTGTGTGTGCTTGGATAAATCACAATCTCTTTGAACCCAAGTTGCCTTATTTATAAAATGAGTGGGTGGGACAAGATCAGTGGTCCCCAACCATAGATGCACATTAGAATGATCTGTGATGCTTTCAAAATATCAAAGCCGGAGTCCCATATCCGTAACTAAATAAAAAGAAATCTCTGGGAGTGGGACCCAAGCACCAAAAAGCACCCCATGGATTCTGAAGCACCGTGAGAGCTAAAATCCCAAGAGGTTAAATGATGACTAGGTCTTGTCTGCTCTGATAGTCTATTATTTCTACAAATCATATGATTTCTAACACTTTTTTTTTTTTAAAGAACTACACCCTAAAAATAACCTTCCCCATAATATAATCCAAGCTTAAGTTCATTCCATCTATTTTATATAATTAAAACCCAGCAGCTACAGGTTTAAATCACTCTATAGCAAATATAATCTAAATAAAATTGCTGTATGTGTTCAAATATGTCAAATTTCCATTAGTGACAGAATTTTATGGTCTAGGTTAGGAGTCAGCAAACTTTTTTCTGTAAAGGGCCCAACAGTAATATTGTATGCATTGTGGGTCACACAATCTCTGTGGCAACTACTCCATTCTGCTGTGATAGTGCCAGGGTAGCAATAGATGATAAAAATGAATGGGGTTTTTAAGCGTTTAAATAAAACTTTATTTACAAAACAGGCAACAGGCCGGATTGGTCCTCTGGCTGTAGTTTGCTGACCCCTGTGCTCTAGTTGATATGACAAAACTCCATAAAATAGAATTTAGATGAGATTCAACTTACATAAATTATTTTTAATTACAGCTAAAATTTTGATAATTAAAACCCTTCAGCTGTAAGAGCTGAACACAAACTCTCACATAAATGTAAAAAGTATCAGAATTATAACCAAAGCTCTGTTTAAATATGATATTTAAATACATATCATATTTAAATACATATATTCTTCAGTGGACAGATGGTAAAACAAAAATACCCAGGATGCTTATTTACAACTAAACTTAATGTTCTTAGTTGCCTAAATTACATTTTATACAATTTTATTTTTATGAATGTTTTTGGTATTCCTACGTACTTTCAAGAGACTTAAAAACCTAAGTAGCTTAATTTAGTTCTTATTTAATGAGATCACCTTTACATGTATGAGGGAACTGTTAATATTTCGATGGGTACTAAGAGTATACTGGAATTATGTGTTACATATAAATGGGGGAGGGGAAATCTTGCACTTTTTTGCAGCTCCAAAAGAGGTAAGTTGACCATGTTAGTAAGAGATAGTTTTGTATTAAAAACTTTTTTACACTACAAGTTACTAGAGAATCATCTACTATGATTACAAATTTTATCTGCCCACTAGACAATCAAAATGTTGACTAACCAATATCAAAATATTTAAAAATAAGTAAAACAACTGTTTTCCCAATAAATACTTAATACTTCCTATGACGTCTTACACATCAAGGGATGAAGAGGAAGGGCTTGAAGTTTAATAGAAACAGATCAAAAACCATGAGCCAACTCCCTTTCAACACCTGCTCACCTGAATACTGAATACCATATTGTTGAGGTGGCTGAGGTGGAGCCTGTGGCTGCTGAGCACCATAGCCAGCCTGTTGTTGGTACTGTTGGTACATCTGACCTAAAAACAAAAAAAAAAAGAAAAAAGAACAAGAGGCAGGTTTAACTTGGCAGAGAGAAATATTTTTAAGGCATATTTATTTACATTCTCTCCCCATCCAAACAAATGAACACACTGAGTAACAATATAAAAGAATGTGTTTGTTCCCCTTAAATGTCTATGAAGAAGAGAAGAATGAACAATTTAAGAAGTGTGACTGCTCTGCTGTGGATTAACTGCAGAGAACTAACTACTAACGAACATTATGTAACACTAGCAGTTACCACTTCATAAAGTTCAGGAAAACAAATGCTTTCAAACCCAACTGCCAACATGTAAGCACCACTAATATCCAATAAAAATCAAGTGAGTTGAACATCAATAAACAAAAATCTGAGAAAAGGGACAATTACCATTAATTAATACCATCTAAATCTTTCCCAATGCACCACTCATTTGCTTTATGAAAGTTTGGACCTCTGTTACCATATGAATGGACCCTTTGGTCGCAAGGAATCACAACACATCTTTTGCTCCAGTTTGGAATTTGTCAACAGTTTGATTTTCTACAAGTATCTAACATCTCAATATCCTAACCAATCTTGTGGAATCTGACAAAGCCTAAATGGTTCTTCATTGCACTTTTTAATAATGGCAGACCTGTTTAACACTGGGGATGTGTTCTTGGACACAGGAGTCCTACTAGTCCTATTTAGGGTCAGTAGACCACAGTCCCTATGGAGAAACCTTCAAGCCACTTAATACCTGTGATTTTCAAACAAGGATTTATTGGTTTATGTCTTTATCATCTCTACTTTTTCTCAGTTGTTTTAATGGTAGACTTAACTAGATTTAATGTCTAGAGTAGCAATAAAACTTGCATTTTAATATCTACCAAGCTTTTACATCTTTAATGTCGGCTTATTCTTTAAAAAATATTCAAACTACCTGCTATTAATCAAAAGATAATGGGTAAACTGGATACTTATGGCAAAAAGTGAGATAAGTACCAAAAAAAAGTAAATACATTATCAAATACCATTCAAACTGAGGTGCAGTAGGCAGCTATCACTCACAGGCTCAAATCAAGATATGGACCCCACTCTACTGTACTTGGCCGCTCAGCCCTAAAGGTGTCTTGGGCAGCACTAAGTAAGATATGTATTTATACTCAGCTTATTTCCTAGCCAGCAGTTATGTTTTTTATAATGAAATCTGCTCAACTGTTTTTAAGCTATTAATCCTCTTCCCAAATGTGACCAAAAAAAAAACACCTCACAAAAGTTTCTTAAATGCTTTCAACTAATAGATAGCATAAAAGCATAAAAGGTAACACAGAAGTTAACCAAATTTAAATACCACCTTAATCCTGGACTGTATTTCATAACTAACTTTTAGAATAGAAGTGACCAAAATCTAAAATAAAAAGTAGGTACAGAAATAGAAGGGTAAGAAATATGTACATGTAGCATGTGATAAAGGACTCTAAATTTTAGAAATCAGAATGATTAACTCCATAGTACAAAAATAAGCAGGGAACAGGCAATAAATACATGAAAAAAAGTTCAACCTCATTAGTAATCCCTATTGCAGATACAGAAAGATTAAGCCACTTACCTGAGGTCAACAGCTAAAAAAAGAACGATCAACAGCTAAGAAGAACCATCACTGGAACCCAGGCATAACTTCCAAAGTAACTTTGCACATATTATCCTATGTGCAAAATAATAAAAACTTTGGCATCACCAAAAGAGACTGAGATCAAGGCTCCACGCAGTAGACTACTGTCATCAATGACTAAGGAACTCATGCTCAAACAGCATAATTGTTCTCCTTGACAAAAATTCACAGGGTACAACCCTTCTCAATGTTTTTTTTTTCTTTTTACATGTCTTCCTAAACTGCTACAAACCCATTTTGAAAATACCACTCCTAGTGTTAAAAATGTTACTACTTCTGCAAAGTATTCCTTTTACAGCAGGTCATCAAATAACTGTTTTGTTCAACATCATTTCATTATAACGTTAATGTGGGGGTCAGGAATCAGTTCCCAACAGAGGATGGTGTGTGTTGTGGAGTTTACATGTTCTCCCCATGTCTGTGTGGGTTTTCTCCAGGTACTCTAGTTTCCTCCCACATCCCAAAGATATGTATGTTAGGTTACTTGGCATATCTAAATGGTACCAATCTGAGTGAGTGAGAGTATGAGAGAGAGAATGAGCCTTGTAATGAAATAACAGAGGGGGAGGGGAGGGAGGGAGGAGAGAGGGGGAGAGGGAGGGGGGAGGGGGAGAGAGAGAGAGAGAGAATGAATAAATGAGCCTTGTAATGAAATAGCATCCAGACAGAGTGAGAGAGAGGAGAGAGGGGGAGAGGGAGGGAGAGAGGGAAAGACAATGAATGAATGAGCCTTGTAATGAAATAGCATCCTGTCCAGGGGTGGTGCACACCTTGTATGAGCTGCTAGGACAGGCTCCAGTCATGCATGACCTTGAACTGGAATAACTGGGTAAATAGTTATCTTGTTTTTATTAATCTTTCTTAAAAATATATATATACCTCTCATTTGTTTTGGGTCTTTATTTATAAGTCTGGTGACCAGAAATATGCTGTAGGAACTTAATTTGTTTTTATCAATTAGCCTATGGCAAAACTAGTTTCCTTATACATTGTTTCACTTAAAGTCAGTTTCGAAGAACCTACAATATTTTTCTGTATTTTTTTAACTTTTTATTTTTTGCTTTTTATTTTGAAATAATTTCAAACAGAAAAATTGCAAAAATAGTAATAAACCCTCTCACATACCAACATTTTAATATATTTGCTTTATCATTCTCTATTTGTGTTTATACACAGTATTTTTTGAACTTTTAAGATAGTTTGCATACTTCATACCCCTTCACCTCAAAATATTTCAGTATATTTCTCTTAAGTACAAGAATATTTTTTTACATAACTGCAGTTCAATTATCAGAAATTTCTCACTGATACAATATTTTAATCCACAATGTACATTTCAATTTCATGAACTGTTCTAATGTCATTTATAGAATTTTTTGTAAAAAAACAAAAAAAAACAAAAAAAAACACAGGATCCAGTCCAAGATCATTTATGGCATTGAGTTATTTTGTCTCTTTAATCCTTAGTCTGAATTAATATTTAATTTCAGCCTTTCTTTCTCTTTCATAACATTGACATTTAAATAAAACACAGGCTTGTCATTTATAAAATGTCCCTCAGCTTGGTTTCTCTGATGTTTCCTCATGGTTAGCTTTTGTGTATCCATTTTGGGCATAATACAATATTAGTCATGTATGTACGTGTCTTCAATATCATATCTGGAGATTGATATATATTTGCCCATTTCTGGTGACGTTAATTTTGATCACTTGGTTAATACTAATATGTTTTTAATTTCCCCATTGTAAGGAATGTTTTCCTTTTTAAATTAGTCAGTAATTTGTCTCATTAGATTTTTAGTTCCTAGCAAGCAGTAAGCATTCTGTGCTCCCAGTTAACCTCCAGTGCCAAGCATGGGAGTTGGCAATAGTGGGTGATGAATATTTGTTTACTAAAAAAAAAAAAACCCACAACAAATATTCATCACCCACTATCAACATTAAGGGACGACTTACTGTGCTTATTTTAAACCCACTTCATTCAAGTCCAAATAGGACTCTGTCACAGTATTCTGATATAAGCAATCTATGTTTAACTCTTACAAAAAGGATGAACATCTTTACATACTTGAAAGATGAGATCTACGAGATATATTAAGTGAAGAAAGCAAAGTGTAAACATTGTTTATAGTGATGTTTTGAGTAATACAAAAAGATAAAGTCATGTATTGCTTAACAATGGGGATACGTTCTGAGAAATGTGCCATTGTGCAAACATCACAGAGTGTACTTACACAAACGTAGATGGTATAGCCTATTGCACCTAGGCTATAACCCATACAGCATGTTACTGTACTGAATACTGTAGATAACTGTAACACAATGCTACCTATCTAAACATAGAAAAGGTACAGTAAAAATATGAAGCCTGCAGGACTAGCAATTGCTCTGGGTGAGGCAGTGAGGCAGTGACTGAGTGGTGAGTAAATGTGAAGACCTAGGACATTACTGTATACTACTGTAGACTTTATAAACACTGTACACTTAGACTACATTAAATTTATTTAAAAAATCTTATTTCTTTATTAAGTTAACCTTAGCTTACATTTTTACTTTATCAACTTAATTTTTAACTTTTTGACTCTTTTATAACATTTAGCTTAAAACATAAACACATTTTATAGCTTTACAAAAATATTTCCTTTTTTGAGACAGAATCTCACTCTGCTGCCCCGGCCAGAGTGCAGTGGTATTATATAGCTCACTGCAACCTCAAACTGCAGGGCTCAAGCGATCCTTCTGCCTCAGCCTCCCAAGTAGCTGGGACCACAGGCATGCGCCACCACGCCCAGCTAATTTTTCTACTTTTAGTAGAGACAGGGTCTTGCTCTTGCTCAGGCTGGTCTCGAACTCCTGAGCTCAAGCAATCCACCTGCCTTGTCCTCCCAGCGTGCTAGGATTACAGGTGCGAGCCACTGCACCCAGCCCAGTATTTTTCTTTATATACATATTCTATAAGCTTTCTTCTATTTTTAAAATTTTTATTTTAATTTTTTTTACTTCTGAAACTTTTTTTTAAAAACGACGACACAAACACATACATTGACCTAGGCCTACACAGGGTCAGGACCACCAGTATCACTGTCTTCCACCTCCACATCTTGTCCCACTGGACGGTCTTCAGGGACAGTAACATACATGGAGCTGTCATCTCCCATAACAACAATGCCACCTTCTTCTGGAATATGCTCTGAAAGACTATTTCTACAGTTAACTTTTTTTTTTTTAATAAGTAGAAGGCATACACTCTAAAATAATGATAAAATACAGTATAGTAAATACACAAACAGTAACATAGTCATTATCAAGTATTATGAACTATACATAATTGAATGTGCTATACTTTTATGCAACTGGTACACAAGTTTTGTTTATACCAGCATCACAACAAACACACATTGTAACTTACTGCTAAGTTACAATGGCTAATAACATCACTAGGCAACAAGAATGTTTCAGCTCCATTATAATTGTATGAGATGTCATATATACCGTCCATTGTTGACAGAAATATCATTATGTAGTGCATGACTATATATGTAAGCTATGTTTTATGTACGTTTTCAAAAAGAACCAGTGATAGAAATTACCTAAGGGGAAAAAAATGGAACAGGATGAAGCAAAGAATAATGGTAAAACTTCTGGAAATGTACTTTATTACACAGAGTGGTAGCCGGCCTCCATGATGACCCCCAATGACTTCTGCTCATGTATAGCATGTGACATGGGTTAGTATCCTTTTATATTCTTAGAAACCAGAAAGATTTGTTAACTCCTAAATACAAAAATGACCAAAGTACAAGCAATAAGCACATGAGTATCTGCTCCCTTGTGTAGTCCTTCCCACGCTGAATAGGGCTAACATGTATACCAAGATAATATTGCAGAATGACAGTGACATTTCTGAGGACAGGTCATGAAAGACAGACAGATATCTTCTACCTTGATCACTCACTCTGATGGAAGCTGCCATATCATGAGGTCACCCAAGGAGCCCTATGGAGAGGTCCACGTGGTGAGGAACTGAATCCTCCAGCTCCGGCTAAGCTTCAGATGACTACAGCCCCACCAATCATCTTAACTGCAACCTCGTAAGAAGACCCTGAGCCAAAATCATCCATTTTCAGATACCAGACTCTCTAAAACTGTATGAGATAATGTTTCATCCAGGTTTTGGAGTAATAGTCACATAGCTTTAGATGATTAATATACATAGTTTGGCTTTGGAAACATCTAAGAGATGACAGCTATTGAAAAAAAAAGACTTAAGACATGTTAATCAAATGCAAGGTATGAACCTTGTTAGGTTTCTGATTTGAACAAGTCAACTGTAATAAAGTGATTTTGAAACAATTAGGGAAATTCAAATATAAACTAACCTGTTGACATTAAGAATCACTGTTAAATGTTAGGTGTGATAATGGCATGGTGGTTATGTCAAAAGGTTATCAGTCAGACATGCATAGTGAAATACCTGAGTAAAATAACATATTCAGAATTTGATTTAAAATACTCCAGCAAATTCAAGGGGGAGTAGGGAATAGATTAAAAAATCATGCCAAAATATTGATAGGTATTCAAGCCACATGATGGGTACATGAAGAGTTGATTATTCTATATGTATGTTTCAAAATTTACATAATAAAAAGTTATTTTTAAAGTCTACTCAGCTTTTCATTATACTGGCATATGATTTTACAGATTTTAGTTATTAAATATATCCTTTTTACCTTTTTAGTTTGTCTAACAGCAATACCTCCTGATCTCTGATAATTTTTAGTGCTCATCTCTTCACCACTTATTTATGTTTTTGGCAACGACCCAAATGCACATAGATTTCCACAGTAATAGGCACTGGCTTTATCTGAAGAAGGGTAACATTGTTCATTTTGTTTTTTTAAATGATGCTCAATATTTTGTTGATCCTTTTAACTGAATAACATATTAAGACTTTACTCCTTGGGGAAAAAATATGTAATTCCAAGGTCCCTTTTATGGGTTTTAAGTAACAACTCAGAATTCTTAATTTTATTTTGAATTATTACACATTATAAGACACTGCTATGTTAATCAATTATAAGTTATACATTTTTATGTTGCTAATTCTGATCAAATTATAACCAGCAGTTAGTCTTAACAACTGGCAATGTCAGGGACTCATTATATAATATCAAGAAGTATTCATTAAAGTAGCCTACAGTTCACATCTTGGGAATCTATAAATAATAGATATATTTATCTAAACTGTGCTAATATAATAGCCACTAGCCACGTTGCTACTAAGCACCTGAAATGTAGCTATTTTGAACTGTGATATGCTGTATGTTGTCTGAAGTGTTTCAAATCAGTAACATCCCAGATTCCAATACACAGCACAAAAAAAATTATTAATTTTTTAATAGTGATTACACGTTGATATACTAAACATACTGGGCTAAATAAAATGTATTAAAATTGATTTCACCTTTTTAACAACTTTTTAATGTAGTTAACAGAAAATTTTAAATTACATGTCGCTTCCATTGTAATCCTTCTGGACAGCACTGATCTAGAATTAGATCAGTTATTAATCTTTTGAATAATGTCACATATTAACTGCACAATTTTATACTGTATGTTTTAATGTAAGCTAAAAGTAACAGCTGAAGCAAGGCATACAAGTATAATGAATGCCACTACAAAGGAATTAAATTCATATCAAATGGTGTTGATTTGATGCCTATGCAAAAGGGAACTTGGTTGCTGGGGAATAGAGGTGGGAGAGAGAATTTTTCACTGTAAATCCTTTCATATTTTTAAAATTTTACCTATTTGAACATTTTCAATTAAAACAAACCCCTCATAAAATAATTTTAGATATTGCTAGTGAAGTTTTAAATTTCATTCCTTTACATGTGAACAGCAAACATTATTTGGTACAATTAGCCTTCCAACTGCCATTTTACAACAATATGTATTTTAAAAATGGGTTTTAAAAAAAAAAATAGTTTTAGTTCACTTGATGCAGGCATTACAATCTCATCATACCCAAACTCTGCTTTTGTCCCTCTGTTTCAGCCCACATCTGCTTTAGTTCCAGTTTGTTCCAGTTTTGGCAATTGTATTTTGGTGCAGAGGAAGACTGTAACTAAAGTTGGTTGAGAAAAGGCTTATGTAATAAGAAATTCTTCCCAAACCATTCATTCATCAGCAAATTGTCACCTGCTAGTCCCTAATGCCTAGTATTCATTCACTGAACAACTCTGAAAGTATCACCACAGGATGATAGGACTCTATTCCAAAAGTGGTCACTATACTTCATTTACATATATATTTACATACTTCAGGTTATGATTTTTTTTTAATTGATAACCTCGATCACTTGCTTCTGATGCAGTAAAAACATCATACCACCATTTGACCCTTTTTATATGAAGTTAGAGCACCACCTGGTGTTTGTTTTAAAACAGAATGTGTGGTTTTAAAGTCCTAACATGCACAGGAAATTCACAGAAATATCAGTTTTAATATCTGAAATATTTGTTTTAATATCTGATAGGTACTCTAGAGATCAGTAAATACTTAGCCATGTTCTACAGAGATCCAGATTTCAATGAGGCACTTCGGTGCCTGCTGTCCTAAGCTTGCGGACCCTTGATTCCCTTCAACCACAGCCATGATCCCTTTATCTGTTTCAAAAACTGAGCTTTCAAGTGATATTTCATTCAGGACTAAAGACATTCTTTTGAAACCAATTGTTTAGTCCAACTTTCACATTTTACACTGAGAATTATCAAAATCCAGTGAAACTAAATTACTCATCCAAGGACACATTTAGAGAAAAAAGTATGACTTAAAATACATTGTTTTCCATTAAAGACCTACTAATAACTGTACAAAAATATAAAGAGCTATTAATCTTTTCAAAAAAACTGCACTTAAGTTATGCTCTACTTGTATTTTAAAAATCTCTTCAATTACAAAAATAATGCACAGTTGCTGAGGGAAAAGGAGAGGGAGATAAAATAGCACCTAAGCGTTATGCAAAATAAAGTATGAAGTCACTCTTCCAAATTTCACTCTCCTCCCCAAGGGTCATCACTGACCAGTGACTGGTAGGAATCCCTCCTGATCTTTCACTCTGTGTCTATATTCATTTAAACACTTTTTTAGTTTTTTTCTTTTCAATAATCAGAAAAATACCTAATATATTTTCTATTTGTTTTTTAACACCAACTCATGTTAGTAAATCAAAATTTTTCACAGCTGCATTCATGGCATGACTGCACATGTGAGTTGTTTACCATTGCCAACAATAGTAATAAACATTTTGCACAGGTACCTTCCCCCACATGTTCTCTAAACTCTATTTTACCTTCAATCTGACCTGCTTGTGTCTGAGCTGCTGTGTATGGTGGTTGCTGTGGCTGAACTCCTGGTGGGTGAGCTGCTGAGGAGGAGGAAGCAATGCTGTCTGGCGTTCCTGAACGGTCTTCTGCAGGAGCACTGGGTGGCCCTAGATGGTCATGAAAAATCAGTTTAGTACCCAATACAAGGGTTAGCCTCAGCAAGCTCTATTAAGAAATTCGGTTAAAAGAGACTAAAAATAAAAGTACTATAGAATAAGTATATCACCACAAATGCAGTCTTTTACATTAAATGTATGTACTTCCTTTTTTCCTTTGTTCCAGTCTCTTAAGAGTCCAAAGCTACAACTGAAAATCCTTCCCCAAAAAGTGTGGAGTATATTCCTAAGTCCTAACTTCCCTCTGCAAAAACCAACTCATGTCTGCAATACCAATATTCCCCCTGCCATGCAATGTATTTTGTAGACAAAAAGTATCACTTTACTCTTCAATGGGGATAAAATTGCCCATAAATTCAGTTCAACTCCCTGATTTGGTATTCAAGGGTCCAGCCATTCTTTCTCACAATTCTTCTTCTCACATGCCACCCTTTCAGCTAAACTTACCTACTCCCTAGTCCCACAATATGTCTACATTTTTTTGATCTCTATTTATCACTATCTTCTTCACTGTGTCCCACATATTTAAATATAACATTTTTAAAAACCCATTTGGAATTCTACACTTCTAGTAAGCCTTCTTGACCCATAAATACTTTCTTCCACTAGTGAACTTCTACCTAGTTTACTTATATTATGACCCGTATCAGCTTTTTTTTTTTCATTTCTGAACAGCTCCCATCCTTCCCCTCTTAGACCGTGAGCTCTTTTGGCCAGGATCCTGACTCTTGATTCTTTTTGTCAACTGACAAGGCCTAGCCCTCTACCTTATACATGGCAACACTCGAATCCTTCCAAAATAATGAACACAGAAGTGAATGGAGAGAATATACTACAGTTCCAAAGCTGTGACAGTCAAAAAAGATATTCTGAAGATAACTACAGATATGTCTTATTCCTTTAAGTTCTCTTTGTTTCAGCAACATGGAAGAGTGGTTGAAGGCACTGGTTTTGGAGCCAGACTACCTAGGTGAAAATCCCAGTGCTCCCACTTACTAGCTATGTAACTTTGCGCATGTTACTTAATCTCTTTTTATGTTTCCTCATATGTACAAAAGATGCACTAATTCCTACTTCATAAGGTTACTGTATTATGAGTTAATGAAAGCTTTTAGCAAGCGCTTATAAAAGTGATTATATAGCAAAAGATTATAAAAGTTATTAGTCAGAAAGTTCCATGTAAGTACTTGCTATCATTAGCAGCTTAATTTCCCTGAGGGCAAATCTCTATCTTCTACTCTGGTGTATCCCCAGAACTTTCCACTGTATTAGGCACATAGTTGGCAGCAAATCATCTAGGTAGTAATGAGAACCTAAATAAACTAGGTTGTAACACTGGTAATGCTCGAAAGACTGATGACTACCAGAATAAAATGGATGACTATTTCTGTCTACCACCATTTTATGTATATTTATATATGTGTAGATAAATACCTACAGACATTCTTCCAACAAAGACACTGTGCTATTATCCTAAAAATATATATCGCTTTGACTCTTTCCTCCCTTATATGTAATTTATTATAGTTAATGTTGCTCATCCTATATTTGTTTTAATTCATCCTCCTTCCCATTTCCACATTGGGATAGCCAAATTTTTTATACCACATCACACCTGAAGAACTACAAATGTATCCTGGCTGTTGTCTATGTATACAATTTTTCCTATTCCAATTCAACATACAAAAGCTATCAGAAAAACGGTCTTCGAATAATGTGAATCATATTAATCATATTATTCAGGTCTAGCATATACTATATTTAAATCAAAACTTTTAAGTCTGACCTCATATACAACTATTCACTCCTCTATTTGGCATTTCCTGAAGTCTGAAATAATAAGTAGTTGAAATGTTAATTCATATTTCAGTTGTTCTAAAAATGTGTTTTTCGTATGTGTCACTTGTCTGATGTCTTCTTTTGCCAAGAACGAGCATCGTATACAAATAAATGTCTCTTATTTTCAGAATTTCACACAATTCTCTTTAGTGAATAATCCTATAAAAGTATCAAAGAAATACAAAATGAATAAACTGAATACTGTATTTCCAACTAATGATAATGACAAAGTATTAATAAATTGGTCGGGTAAACTCTCCTGCAGGTACCAACTAAAACCTGAACAAAATAGAAGAAAACAACTATTTGAAATAACTGGAAATCAATCAAATGTTGGCAGAAACCAAAAGAGTTTACCCCAATGGAATTACAGTAGATAAGAATTGCAAGCCCTGACCCCTGCAGCTCTGATGGTAAAAAAAAAAAAAAACAAAAACAACACCCACAGTGTTAACAACTTCTTGGGTGGACAAGCAGCTGAATATTTAGGGGGAAAATCCCTGGAGTCAGAGGGCCATCAAGGGGTAGGGTAAGACCCAAAATCTAAGTATAAACTATGCCCAAATCCCCAGCTGACTCTAGGGTTGGAACGGGGGAAAGGGATAATCCCCAGAGGGTCAGAAAAAAAGCAGGACCTAGAGCTGAAAGGACTGAGCAGAGTTATTAGCTGCCATATACCATGGGAAGAGAGAGAGTAGTTCTGAATTATGTTGTAAAAATTATCAAAATCAAAATGGAGTCGCTAATATTTCAAAAAAAAAAAAACCACTCTGACAAATAGAGCCTGAAAGGGCCATGAAATCACACTTGTATGACTGATAAAAACTATTACAGAAGACTGCAAAAACCACAACCTTGCACGAAGGACACTGCAACCTTACACAAAAAATACTTCTGCAAGGACATCTGCCCAGCAACTGGCGTCCAGCCTCAAACTGGTATCACCCTTGTTGATGATCTTTGTAGCCAAGGGTAATTATTTCAAAACAATTACGTAATCCTCCTCATTTTTTCTTTAAAAATCTTTGTCTTCCTTTATCTCCCTGAATACACACATAGTTTACTATGGTACATGTATTCCCACTGCAATGCCCTATTCTCAAATAATTATGGTTTTCTTTTAGAAAGTCCCTCTTTGTTTGTTACACAGCTTGACACCTTCATACGAATTAATTCCCTGCTAGAGTAACAATAACAAAAAATCCTCAAAAGAACATAAAAAAATCCCATTATAAAATATTAACTACTATGTCTACTTCTCAGCCAAAAACTATGTGCAAAGAAACAAGGAATTGTGACCCATAGTGGGGGTAACAGGGGGAGGCTGTCAACAGAAACTGACGCCAAGTAGGCTCAAATGTTGGATGTTGCAAACATTTCAAAGTAGCTATTATAAATATTTGTAAAGAATCAAACAAAAATACACTCAAAGAATTAAAGGAAAATATAGTCTTAATGAATGTGGAAATTCCAGAGCTACATTAGAAAGGTTCAACAGCACATTGGAAATCACAGTGAAAACAGTTAAATAGAAATCGTCCAATCTAAAGAACAGAGAGAAAAAAAGACTCAAGAAAAATGAACCTCAGAGACCAGGAGACAGTACCATGCTCTCTAATGTATGTGTGATTAGAATCCCGAGAGAGAGAAAGAAGTAGAAAAAATGTTGAAGAAATGACAGCCAAAAATTAAAAAGAATAATAAATTACAGTATAAATGCTGTTTTAAGGTTAAAAGCTTATTCATATAAAAGCACTTTCCACATTAAAGCAATTTAAACAGAAATCTACATTTTCAGTTTCTGTTTCAATTTCTCTAACTTAAAGATCAGAAGATATAACAAGATCCATCAAAAGCAATTTAAATCCTGCAACAAATCTGAAATAAGATTATAAAATAGCTCAGATTTTAAAAAAACTTTCTAAATTTTACTTTCAATAAATTTTACTTGAAACAAACAGTGGTTCTTCTTTAAGCGGAAGGGTGTCACTGACTGGGAGAGGGCACAAGAAAGCTTTCCGGGATGCTAGAAATCATCTACACCTTGATATGATGCAGTCAGTGCTTTACATAGCATACATATGTAAACATTTACTGAATGGAACCCTTAAGACTTGTACACTTCATCATATCCAAATTATTCTTCCATTAAAGAAAGAAGGAAGGAAGGAGGGAGGTCTGGGATGAAGGATGCGAAGGAGGTAGGAACTAACTTACCTGAAACCTGATCATCTGTTAAGCCAAACGCTGACATAACATTTTTGTTGATTTCATCTTGGTTTTTTAAAGGATCAAAAGCTGACATACTTGCTGCCATAACCTGAGTAGACTGTTTTCCAGAAGAATCAGAAGAAGCAGGTTTTTCTTCCCTACCATCCACAGTATCTACAAGAACAGAGGAATAAACAAAATCTTGTTTCTATTTTATCTATACTCAACAAGGCCTAAAAATACAAGACAGAGAAATATATATGTGCATAATTATAGTCTGGAATGTTAAAAGTATCTCTGAACACAGGATTATAGATCATTTTACTTTTCTCCTTTATACTTATTTATATTTTTACTTTTAAAATCAGGGGAAAAAAGGACAAAAAGAAACACAAGATAAATAACAGCTTTCCCAAATAAATTATTATCTACCCCCCTTCCCTAAGAATTATTAGATGGAAAAAAAGTACAAACTCCTTAACAGAGAGAAATATTTTACCTTTTTTTGTGTGTGTGTGTAGCCCTATGACCTATATCCTAATATCGGATTAATACTGGGCACTCAGGAAGAAACAGCTATAGGAACCAATGTTTTATTTTTTAAAAGAATAAGCAGCATAGCTGAGGTTATAATCTCAACTTTTATGTTTTATTTCTACTATTTCTTGGTCCACTATTAAATTACATGGAAATCAAAGCAACCAGAATTCATGCTTAATCTTCTGTAAACAGCATATTAAAAACATACTTTGAATTTGCTACCTCTTATTTTAATATACTTACTACTTATTAAATTACTTACTAAACTACCTGCTAAAATCCTTAGATAGAATCATGTGTATAGGATCTGCTTCAAAATAATATGGGAGGGGTGGAAGCGTGTGGGAGTATAGATGACACGATACTGACTATGAGTCGACAACTGATGAAGTTGGATGTGGGTTTATGGGATTCATTATGTCTCCTTTTGTATATATTTAAATATTTCTATAATAAAATGTTTTAAAAAACAGAAAAAAAAATGTTAAACATTATGAATAGGTTAAATTTAAAACCATGCTTTTCTTCTAAGAATACTAATATCAACAGGCATTTATAGTACTACCTTGTGAAAGAAAAGGGGTTCAAGAATAACCAACATTTTACAAATGGGAATCCAAGACCAAGATATAAAAAGACATCAAAAAAAAAAAGCCAACATAAACAAGTAAACAAGAAGAATATTGCTAACCATTTACTCAATGAAGAGACAATGATTATCAATCTCTTTCTGTTACCAAACAAGTAAATGAACATCAGTTATTAGATCACCCCTGCCATCAATAAAAAATTTATCTTGTGAAAAAAATGTAAGTACTAAGCATCCCCCCCAGCACACAATGGCTGGCAGCTCTCATTCATTCCTAACTTGCCATTCCAGGTTACCCAAATATTTCCTAATTTTCTGGAAAATAAACAGTCCTATAAGTACTCCTTTAAAATATGTCTACCGGGGGAGGAGGGGATAGGTATATACATACATAATGAGTGTGATGCGCACCATCTGGGGGATGGACATGCTTGAAGCTCTGACTCGGGGGGGGGGGGGACAAGGGCAACGTAACCTAAACATTTGTACCCCCATAATATGCAGAAAAAAATAAATAAAATAAAATAAAACAAATGTCTACCAGTCATCTACCTTCCTCACCAACTTCCAACGCAAGACAACATCCCAAAAGCATACCACACCAATCTCATAAATTATTCCCCCTCACAACACTACCACCTCTCACTATCTATGTCTCTTTTCACTTATGGTAAACCAAATCCACCAGAAAACACAATGTATGTCCACTAGCCTACTACTTGTTCCATTAGCTGCCAGAGACACTGGAACAGGTCACTCCAATATGTAATGCAGCTTACACTTCATTTGCCTCGCAGAGCAAAACAAGTGTCCAAGAACCATTGCAGAGGTAGAGCACTCAAGACCATAGGTGACCACATGTTTCTTGGTAAGGGTAATCTGCAGGTTCTAAATAGTACTGACAGCTGACTGGCAGTTTTGTTTTGTGGATTAGGCTTCAGTGTCTGATGTAGAATTTTTTTGGTTGGTTTATTTATGTTATTTTTCTTGAGAAGGAGATTATTAAACCACAATATGTGATTAAACAGAAGCTTAAAATATTTCACAGAAGCCAGGTGGACAAGAGGTAAGTTATCTCACTAAGTGTAGGAGAGAAAACAAAAAATAAATTACAGCTACCTCTAAAAATAAAACACAGAACGTATTATTCTTACATCATCTTATCATAAGCTATGTCAGACAGGACACAATGACAAGAAGATGGACACACAAAGAAATAATATGTAGCATAATTTCCAAGATGCACAGAAGAAATGAATTTTAATATCTTTTATATTAACACAGGTGAGAAACTAACATTAAAATATATAAAAATATAGAAACAAAGGACTGATAAACAAAAAAAATCAGCGGCTACAGTAGCAAGAAACATGTAAGAAAAGTTTCACCTAAACCAAAAAGCTTGTAATTCTATTCCTTAGATCAGAATGTGGGCCACTGTAGCTAGTTTCTGCACAGTACTGGCCATGCTGATTGAATTCTGATCTCCATTTCATAATTTTCTACAGATGGTTAAACTCCCTGAAATTATATGCAAATACTATTAGCATCTATGAATTCTTCCAGGAATATGGTGTAAGGTTTTCATCAGTTTCTCGATTGAAAATCGAAGTTTTTTGTTTGGATAGGTAGGATTCACAACAGGCAATCTGCTTTGACCTGAAATATAAAAGGTTCATCATAAAGTGACCAAGAGGACCTCACTGTAGTATTTCAGCAAATCTCCATTATGTTACGAAATAGAGGTGGGACTAGAAATTACTAATCAATCACCAAATATTTATTAAGCATCTACCATTAACACAATTCCACATGACTGAAGAAGAGAGGAAGAGGGAAGTGATGAAAAATCCATCTTTATTTAAACTATAACTAAAGGCAGAAAACAAAAACTTCAAAATTATTTAATGGCCAAAAACAGAATAATATCTCAGAATCTAAAAGTTGCAAGGGGCACAGTGGCTCCTGCCTGTAATCCCAGCACTTTGGGAGGCTGAGGCAGGAGGATAGCTTGAGGCCAGGAGTTCAAGACCAGCCTGGGCAACCCAGTAAAACTCAAAGTAAAAAAAAAAAAAATAGCCAGGCATGGCAGCACACACCATCTATTATTACTCAGGAGGCTGAGACGGAAGGATTATTTGAGCTCAGGAGTTTAAAGTTGCAGTGAGCTATGATCAGGCCACTGTACTTCAGCCTGGGAAATACAGTAAGACACTGTCTCTAAAAAAAAATGATTGTAAGGGATTATACATGACATTTGTCCACAAAAATCATCTTCTACTAAGCTCTTTATATGCCATAGTCACCCACACCTGACATTTGTCCACAAAAATCATCTTCTACTAAGCTCTTTATATGCCATAGTCACCCACACCTGATTAAAAAAAAAATTACTATTTCACAATATGGACAGTTTTGAACATTTGAAAATTATAAGCAAACAAAAATATTTGTTAAAAAAAAATCAGTTTTTTTAGTGCATTATCTAAGAATCTTAAAAGTTGAGGAAAAGTTTTTTTAATCCACTTTCAAGCCATAACACATACTTATATTTCAGTCCACATTTTAAAATACATTTGGTCCCAAAACTATGTCATTTCTAATTTTGTCAATAAACCTTGCCTTATCTTAATATAAATAGTACATGTTATCTGTAAAATGGAAAAAAAATTAGTTTTTCTTTGAATATTATGACTATTAAAAATTGTGTTTAAAATAAACTTTACAATGTACCATTTTAATGTATAGTACTAATCTGTAAGTTTCTTTTTTACTTGAAACTCCTTCAGATTCTACATAAAACTAATGAAATGATTTCAGTTCCTAAGAGTCATTAATTATCTATTACACTGAAAAGGGTTCATGAATCAAAAAAGTTTAAAAACTGACCTATGTCATAAACCCAGAAGTCCAAGACTAATTGTTTAAGAATCACCCAGACAGCACTTTACAAATGGGATTCCCAGGTTCTACCCTCCAGTAGGTCTATGATGAGATCCAGGAACTGCGATAATGAAACCTCCCAGTAATCCTGATGTACTAGTATTCATGTTTGGGGACACAGACATGAACACTAGTACAGAGGCAGGAACAAGAAAGAGCGTGACATTGAGCATGCCATCCTACTCCTGCCAAAAAAGAGTTTTTAAAAGCCTGCAAAAGACGTAAGAATAAATCAGAATGAGAAGGATTCATGATTTACCATTTTCAGGAATGCTGGTGGAAGGTCCTGGTTCTCCAGGTGGTTCCAAGCTATCCAATAAGCGATTTACTTTGTTTCGAAGTTCTATCAGTTCTCGACGGAGATACTTCACCTGACTTGATTCAAGGGGTCTTGGTTGGCCATTAACTGAAATAAAAGCATTAATCTGCTTAAAATTAGGAGATGTTCTTGAATAAATATATCAACAGAATAATATGCAATAAGGAAAAATACATACAATTCCTTTAATAAAAACAAAATCAAACAAGATACTAAATAACTCTTTTTAAGGAAAGGATTCTCTATTGCAAATAACTTATTGTAGAAAAAAAGAAACATTCATCAGTCATTCCTGATGGCACACCTATGGCGTATAACCATATAGGTAAAAAGGTTTATTAGAAAAATTAAACTACAACAAATTAGAACCTATAGAAAGCTATACTTTTTAATAGAAATTATTAAATTTAATAAAAATTACATAACTTCAAAAGCTCAGTTTATTTCACACTATTCTTCTTAAAATAAGACAAAAACCTTATTCTAAACATATATGTTAGAAGATACAACATGACTGATAGGTCTGTTATCCCTTCTGCCTACTTTTGCCTTGAGAAAAGAACAGCTAACTAACACAGCTGATCTAAAAAGTAACCCATTAAAAAAATATACACAGAACTTTTGAATCTACATCACCATTGTCCTTCAAAGCAGTTACTTCCACAGGCAGTTTATAAGCCACAAAAAGTCAGAGATAACTCAATAATCACGGTTTTGGGGGTTTTTGTTTTGTTTTGTTTTGTTTTAATGAAGGCAACATTACCTCATTTAAGTACCCATTTTGTCAAATGACTTTCAGGTGACTGAAAAAAATGAAATCGTTCATTCACCACTGAGGTTATTTTTAAAAAGGAAAAGAAAAAAAACGTGATACAAGGCTCTGAATGCAAACCCCAAGACAGGAGTTCAAAAATTAAACTAAAATGCTTTATGCATCACCAGTAAACATCTATTTGAAAATAAAGGTTCAGGAAGATTGTTTGTTAAATATGTTTCAAACATCAAATCATCAATATAATAAGCTCTTAGAAGAAAATTCACCAGTAATTCATATACTCCCTGCATAGTTATGGGGAAGTTCAAATATAATCTCCTACCTATATCAATTAATTATTGGCTTTCACTTGGTATTACTGGTTTCTCTCCAATATCCGAGAAGGAGAAAAGTAGCTCCTGATAGCTAGGAACTGGTCTGATATCCTAAGATAGGCCTTGGTGTTGCTATAAGCTGGCCTGGCACTCACAGGTAAGGCTGTGGGGTTCTTCTGTTGAACATAAATATTTTCAAAGAACACCAACATCAGACAAGACCACCCTGTGACCACGATAGATCAAAAGTCTATAATCATGTCAAAACTCAAGACAAAAACAAGAACACTGACAAAACCATAAGAATGATCAAATACCGCCCCCCAATCCTATCTCATATGAGTGACTGCTACTGCTTTATCCTCAATTCATTCTTCCCACCTCTACGTAAGATTTAGTAAGATTCACTCCTCTCCCTTTCTAGATAAAAATTATTAAGAATCACCTCCACTTTCTGACAGCAAAGCCCCACTTCCTTGACCCTTATCCAAAAATAGCCTAACACAAACCCAACCCCTTCAAAAAATTCTTTTCTAGCATACTATTACTGAGACACCCTACTGTTTGCCATGGTGTTCATTCTCTCTTGTTGTAGTAAGTCAATAAACTCAACTTTGTTTGACTCCAGGTGTGTTCCTGGTGGTGTCTGTCTGGAGCACATTGATACACCTTACCAGAACTTTTAAGAACCCTACATTTCACTGGGTGTGTGGCTCATGCCTGTAATCCTAGCACTCTGGGAGGCCAAGGCGGGAGGATCGCTTGAGCCTAGGAGTTTGAAGTTGCTGTGAGCTAGGCTGACACCATGGCACTCCAGCCTGGGCAACAGAGTGAGACTCTGTCTCATAAACAAACAAAAAAACACCCTACATTCACATTCCTAGTTTGGCCTATAATCTGCTATGTTCTACTTAGTGGGTTTAGGAGCACCATGCTTCAAATTATACTCAATTAAAACTTCAAATTCCCTATTCTATAATAATGTATTTTTATTAGTGTGACTCTAACTGTAGGACTTTAATGAAAGTATACAAAAAGGTAAACTTATTAAATACCCATCTTTGTTAAATCTTAACATTTTTCCATCTTTGCTCCTGATCATTAAGAAATGAAATGATACATACATAATTAAGTCTCCTGGGTACTTCTCCTCAAAAGTCATTCCCCAACTTCATGATTTTAAATAAAGTTTTATATTTTGTTCATAACAATCTTGCCATGTTAGATTTATCTGAAGTATCTTTTTGTTATATGTAATTATAATTGGTTTTTTTAGTTACCTTTTATAATTCCTTTATATTAGGCACACAGCAATTGTTTTATGTGATAGATGCCCTACATGAGGTTAAAGAATTCCTTTTTACTCCTAATATGCTATGATTTTTTAACATGACTGGGATATGAATGCTTTTTCTTTATCTACAAAGATGGCTCAGTTTTTCTCCTTTAACCTGTCACATGGAAAGTAGTATTAGATTTTCTAATTTAAACCAATCTTATACTGCCTGGGTGAGCAATCTTGGCAATGGTGTGTTTCCATATGACTGAATTTAATTAGTTAATATTATTTAGTATTTTGTGTCCACATTCATTAAGTGACACTGCTCTGCATTTTCCTTGGCTGGTTTTCAAGTTTAAGGTTATATTAACCCCATAAAATGAGTTAGTGTATACTTCCTCTTTGCCTATTCTCCGGAATAGTTTGTATAATTTGGGATCATCTGTTCCTTCAGTATTTGGTAGAATAGTCGGTTCAATTTCTTTAATGTTATCAAATCGAGGCAATCAAATTATCTACTTATTGAAGTAGATTAAATTTACCTAGGAAATTGTCCTTGTCATCTGAGTTTTCAAATTTAAATTATTCGCAGCACTTATAATTTTTTAAGTTTCTACTATATTTACAGTTTGTTCCCTTTTCATTTATTTGTGCCTTCCTTTTTCTTTACTAATTTTCATAGAAGTTTGCCAACTGCATCCTTTCAAAATTGTTGATCCTACCAATTCACTGACTTCTAGTTCATTTCTGCTTTTTATTATTTCCTTTCTTCTAAGTTATCTGGGCTTATTTTGTCCTTTTTGTAACTTTCTAAGTTTAATACTTAGTTCATGACTTTCTAGTTGAGGCTATAAATATCCCCCCAAGTATAGCTTTGGTGTACTCTAAAAATCTGGTTACGTAGAAGTCATTATCTCATTATTTATTCATTCATTTTTTTAGAGATAATGTCTCATAAGCCCAGGCTAGATTTCAGTGGTGTGATCACAGCTCATTGTAACCTCAAATTCCTGGGCTCAAATAATCCTCCTGGCTCAGCCTCCCAAGTGGCTGGGACTACAGGCATGTGCCAGCATGTCCAGCTAATTTTTTTAAATTATTTTTTGTAGAGATGGAGTCTCACTATGTTGCCCAGATGACTGGTCTCGAACCCCTGTCCTCAAGTGATCTTCCCCACCTCAGCCTCCCAAAGTGCGGGGATTTAAAGGCCTAAGCCACTGCACCCGGCCTCTAATTATTTCTAATTCCTATTATGATTTCTTCTTTGACTTATGTTATTTATTTAAAAGTATATTCTGTCTCCTAAAGTAGAGGAATTTGCGTTATATTTTTTTTTCCAATGGTTTCTAATGAGGCCAGAGAATATGAGCTCTAGAATATCTCTTCTATTTTTTTGAAATTTGCTGGAAGACCTAGATATGGTCAACTTTTATAAATGTCCCACATGTACTCAAAAAAAAAAACTATCTCTTCCTAACTGCTAGATGTACAAGATCAAGCCCGTCATCTGATCTGTTCCAATTTCCTCTACCTTTAGTAATTCTGAGCCTGCTTGATCTTTCAGTTTCTAAGAGAACAGCTCTCCCATGATTATGAATTTATTGATTCTTCTTGTTCTGTCAATTTTTCCTTAGGAAAAAATCTAAAGCTATGATGCATAAGTGCTCAGATTGTCATATAGTACTAGTGAATTATTCTTTTTATCATTATAAAGTGACTGCTACTAAATAAGTTTTTATGTAAGTGCATTCTGTTAATATTAACAATGAGCTTTCTTTGCATTTGTCTACTGTATATTTTTCTAGTCATTTACTTTCAAACTTTGCACAATAATCTTTTAGTATGTGTCTTAGAAATGGCATGTAACTAGATTTTTTTTTATTTTTAACTTGAGTAGGAGATTATTTTAACTGGTACATGTAGTCAGTTTATGTATTGTGATTAGTATTTTGTGCTATTTATCAAGCTTTCCCTCTTCTTTTCTTCCCTCCTTTCCTAGTGAAATGAGTAGGTGTTCGTTTCCTTTTTTCTCCTATTCCTACTTCTAATCTTTCAATAATCACTCTTACATTTTACAAATGCATACTTCAATTTAAACATTCTAAATTACAACCCTCCTCCCAAACAAGTCCTTAAAATATTTTGATTCCTACCATCCTCTACCATCCCTGATATAATTATCGCTCAGTATTTTTGTCCCAACTTGTTTTTATTAATATATTCCTAAAGCTATTATCCTTTTCTGTAATCAGTGCTCACTTAAATTTATACATGTTAACCAGTTTATTTGCTCACAAGTGCTTCTTGTATCATCTTTGACCATCTTTTGGACTCAATTTCCTTCTTGCTGAAGACCACTGCTCAAAATTCTTTTAACAGTCTATGAGTGGTAAATTCTCAGCCTTCATTTGAAAATGTTTTTATTTCGCTTCATTCCTGAAGTTTAGTGGACTACAGAATGCCACTTTTCTAGTTATTTTTAATAATCATTTGAAGGTGAGATTCTATTGTTTTCTAGGTTCTATTATTACTATGAAGTCTACTTGCTTCATAGGTCATCAGTCTTATTTTCTCTCTACTTTTAAGATAGTCTCTTTGTCTTACATATTTTCCAGTTTCACGACAATATGTCTAGTGAAGATTTACACTTTAACTTACCCTGGCCAGACTTGCTGTGCCTTCTAAATCTGAAGGTTTATATCTTTTATATAATTCTAAAAACTCCTTTAGCCATTACCTCTTAATGTATTTCCACTCCTCTATTCTTTCCTTCTTCAAACTCTCAGTGGAAATATGCTGGACTTTCTCAACTTCTCTTTCATATTCTCTACGTCTGTGTTTTTGTGCTTTATTCTATAATTTCTCTGGACTTCCTTATCAGTTCACTAATTTTCTTTTTAGCTGTGGCTAATCTGCTGTTTAACCTACCCACCTAGTAATTTCAATGATTATATTTTTAATTTCTGAAGTTAACTAAGTTCTTTTTAAAATGTGTGTTCTTTTTCCACAGTGCCTTGCTCTGATATTCTTATTCCTTCTTTTAAGTCTTTAATAAGTTTTAATATTTTTTAGACTATCACTTCTATTACCTGAAGTTGTTGGAAACCTAATCCTGCTATTAGTTGTGTTCACTGTTTCTTGCTTACATTGACTATTTCATGTGGCTTATCGTTTTGAACCCTTAAGTTCATCAACAGGATTTTATCTACGAGAAATTGGAATGACCTGCATTGAGAATATACTCCTCCAGATACATTCTGCCTTTCCTTCTGCTATTTTTTGTATGGTAATATCTGGGCTTGGGAGTTTCCACACTACATACAGTTTATATTTAAACCCAACTCAGCTCAGGACCATGATATGAATCCTTAAGGGAAACTTCTCAAACCCCTCACAGCCCAGGGTGTAACAGTCAAGCTTCCTTGACTCTTTCTGTATCAAGGGAGAGACCCAGATGTCTGGTCCTTGCCATTTGAGAAAAAAAAATTAAAGAAAAAAAAAAAAAAGAGAGAGAGAGACCTGTTTCCTATAGTATTCTTTTTGAGAGTATAGCCCACTGAGTATCTAGGGCCAAGGGCCTATACTATGTAAATACAAAATGACAAGTCCTTAAATTATGCAGACCAAAACCTTCACCATCACCACCAAGAACACCCCAAGTCCCAGCTTCTGGTACGTCAGGCCTCAGTTTTTAGTTCCATAAATTTTTTTTGGTCCCTGGATATTTCCCTTACCTCCCTGGACAAGCTGAGTTGTGTAATTCAAAAAATATATTTGTAATAGTTTACCTAGCAAGTCCTCAGTGATTTTTGGAGAAAGGATTTTCAGGTTATCTAATCTGCCTTATACCAAGCCAGTAGTTAAGTATTTTAAATTCAATATCATAAAAAGATAACTTTTATTAAAAAAAATTTAAACAGTTTTTGTTATTAACATTTAAAAATCTGATTCATATTCATCCTTCCTAGACGGAAATGAAATAGATACAAATTAAATCAATAGCCATGATCATATTTCATGGAACACTAAGGTTCAGCACAACGTAATTTTAAAAGATAAAACAAATGCTAAATAAAACATCAAGAAAAAAATATGCACATTTTTCACATAATCATGCCACCACTTAACTCTGCAATCATTTCTATTTTGTCCCTTAAGAGTTTTGTCTTGCAAATCTATTAAAATCTAAAAGAAAAATTCTAAATGATTAAAAATCAGTCTTTTATTTGTTTTTATCAGGACAATTTTTAATCTTTAAGTACTCCCTGGAAAATACTGTCTAAAGTATCTAAGCCCCGAAAATAGGTAAGTATAATATACAGGAAGATAATTATAAATTCTTAAAGAACTCAGGAGTAGTTTTAACCCTGAAATTATTTTTAATCCTGATACAAGTGGCACAAAATTTAGGGTAACAAAGCAGAGGTGGAATTTAAAACATGCCTACTTTCTATTCACCTTTCAAAAAAACCAAATAGTCTAACAATTCAAAAATTCTAATACAGTTAAATTAAAACTATAATACTGTATCAGAGATATCTAAAGTTATAACCGATTTCAAAAATAAAATAATCTTAACACATTTTGTTCTTACTCAATTAAACTTCCATCATTTTCTGAAAACATATATAGCCAGAAGCTTCAACCACTCCTTCAACGCAAATTAATTTAAGCACCTTTTGAATAAGTTATCACTTAATTATTAGTCTCTAAAAGGAAAAAAGCCAAAAAGTCTTCTATAAAAATACAATGAATAAAAAAGTAAATTTATTAGAAAGTTTACCACTCACCAAATAATGTCAGTTTCAGTATTCTACTACACTGAATTGCAAAGGAAAGGTCAGAACTATCAAAAATTGTTATAAGATCACCGTCTGGAATTAAAAAAAAAGAAATGAGTTTCAGATTTGTATGAGCAGTGAACTAGGACACATGTAAAATTAAGATCCAAAATGTAGATTGCACAGCATCATTAAACTCTCCTATAAAACCTTAAATCTTAAAGGATCATCTAACAAAGATGTATTTTGTTTCAAAAGAACACTAAATCAATTTTTCTTCCTATTTCTATTGCAAAGTATTTATCATATCTTCATGAGAAAACGTAGCTAAGGTTAATGCATTAACTTTTACTAGTCACCAGGAAGAGATTCATGGTAGCCATACCACCAGTTATTGGTTTACATTAAAAGCTTTCCATTCCAAAAAATTTAAATATATTTATAAAAATTTAAAGTAATACAGATTCTCAAGGTTCAAATCTTAATCCTAATTAAGACAGAACACCATTGACACAAAGGGAGGGGAAGACATATATATTAATAATACAACAATAACTCCAAGGGCTGCAAAAAAGAGGTTTCTAGAAAACTGCTTAGGGAAACTGTGGCCTCAAGGTCACATGTGGCCCTCCAAATCCCGAAGTGGCCCCTGGACCAAATCCGAACTTCACAGAACAAATCCTGTGATTTGTTCTATAAAATTTGGATTCAGTCAAAAGGCCACATGTAGCCCCAAGGCTGCAGGTTTCCCACCCTCAGGTCACTGACTGTTTTGATACTAAGATAAAAACTACCATATTTCCCTATAAAAACATATATATACACAAAATAGTGCGTATTTAAGACTGAAATCCCCTACATCCCAAGGATAAAGAATATTATAATTAGCATATCAATTGTATGTCTGAAAAGCTTCCAAAGGGCTGGGGGGAAAAATGTTCTATAGAGAGAGCAAGAACAGAAAAGGAGCCATAGACAAGGAGTTGGTCAGGGACCTCTGCAAGGTATCTCCACAGACACAGTTGGGTGGGGAGGATTTTTGTTCTGAGAAGGCCAAGAGGCTAGATGCTCTGCTGCACCAATTTTAACACTAACTAGGAAAATTTACTTTGGACAAGGATGGCAGTAACTGAGGATTTTCTATTTGTTTTTAGCTCTTTATAAGCAGACTGATTTCACGCACATCTAAAGTTCAACTTTCAGGGATTCTACTCATAAACACATTTTTAAGAAAATAAAGTATATATGAAGAAGAAAGAAACTTCATATAACTGCCCTTTTTTCTTTTCTGAATTCCACAACAGAAACAGAATATCTCTGATGGTAGGAACTTTACCTGAGCTATCCCTCCACTCTAGTGTCCAACAGTCTAGGAAACACAAATCTGAACAATTCAGAACACTTTAAACACCATGAAAAATAAATACAACGTTGTAACTAAATGTATTGGACAAATTCTAACAATGATGATATCCCAAGCTAGGGGTCCACAAACTTTGACCAATGGACAAATCCCTGTTTTTACAGGACTATGAACTAAGAATGGTTTTTACATTTTTCAAACGTTGTAAAACAAAGATAATGAGACAGGGGCCTTATGCAACCCACCAAGCTAAAATATTTATTATCTGATCCTTTATAGAAAAAGTTTGCTGACCCTTGCCCTAAACAAAAATAAGTGAGTTAAGAGAAAGCCAGTTAGTGTGGTCAGTTTAAGATATACTACTAAGTTTTAGGTAACAGCAAAGCATCCCAGGTTAAAATAAGACACTTAAAAATTTCAATTGTAAAGTTTGGAAGTCACAGATGTGAAAGTCAATGTATTGTAGGCAGATGAAATATTACTAGGGAAGTGAACACAAAGAAAATTGCTCTCCTTTATTGTTCTTTAACATGGGTGGCTCTTAAAAATTTGTTTTGCATGCTCTTAGATCATACATCACAAAAAGGAGAATTACACCTGCGGCTAGATGGCCAACTTAGCTGATCACTGGGGATTTATACTCCCCTCCCACAGTGTAAATTGTGCAATATGACAGCCCAGAAAAGGAGGGCATTTCCCAATCCCATGCATCTCAGCAGAGCCATGTGACTGGGTTCTGGCCACCATGTAGTGGACAAAAATGATATACACCACCTCGAGGCCTAGTGAGTAAAATCTCTCATGTGATTCTTCACACTCTGTCATCACCTATCTGCCTACTGAATGTCAATGACTAAGGTAAGCTTGTTAACCAAGTGTTAAAGATAACAAAGCTTCTGTCAGCCTGGATCCCTGAAATGATCTGAGTGCTAAACCACTCAGATTGTAAGATTTCTATTTATAGCATCTGGCATTACTTTAAGCCAGCACTCACAGAGACAGAGAAAAACTATTAGTAGTAAGAAGAAAACCAGTATAAGCGCAGTATCAGAGATGTTAAGGGATAAGGGTATTTCAACAAGGACGGTGTGAGTAGCAGTGCCAAATACTGAGATCAAGATTAAAAAGACTACAAATAAATTCAATAGTAGAAAACATACAGGTAAACACCTAAAGAGAAAATTTCAGTTAAGATATTAACAAATGCAAGTTAAAGAATAGAAAATATAGTCTACTTCTATAATTCCACTGTATGTTTAATTAAACACTTGTCATGCAAAACCCATCTCCATAAAAAGTTTTGTGGTCAAATGAGTCTGGGAACACTGCATACTATAAACTGACAATGTGTATCAGCGTATTACACTCTAAAAATTCCTTCAATAAAGCAACACATTTGTCTTTGTTTAAACCAGCTTTCCCATACCTTAGTTGACCATGAAATCCTTTTTCATTCAATATATACTGATATCCTTTACACATGGGGGAAAAAAGAGTGGGAATTTTTAAAGCAAAAAGGAAACCAGAATTGTATGAGCAGAAAAAGGAAAAACGCTTGTAAAAATGTGAAAGTATTCTAACACTCAAAACTGTCTTCCAGTAATAAACCACTTAGCTATTTTTAACTTAGAATTGTACTAACTACACAAATATCTCATTAAATAAACTAGGTACTCACCTATCATAAAAAGGGGGAAAAAAGAAATAGTCCAATAAAAATGGACAAAATATTAATAACATATACAATACTTAGACTTTTTAAAACTAGCTTTAAAGACACTCTTACCTTCATCTTTATACTTTATTGTTACTTCATCATTACTCAGAAGTTTTCCTCTGAAAACTCGTTGCATCATTAGCACTAATTCATCATAAGTAATATCTTCATTATGAATAGGAATTCGCCGAATATCCTCCCCAAGTTGAGCTTTGATGATCAGCTTCCCACTTAGGTCCAACTGTCCATTCATGGTGGACTCCAGGATGTTCTATATATACAACTCTAGGGAAAGACTGATAAAAATGGTTTTGATGATTAAATGACAACATATTTTAAAGTTGAAAATAAAGCTACTACTAGAATCTAAGAAATTCTGACCTTCAAAAGAGATTCATTGTCTCAATGTTACCATATTCAGGTTATAATGGTCTAGAGGCAACTTTATGTGCATAACAATTTTTTTTTTATTGTTTTAAACTACTTACCTGACATTACCATTTAGATTTCTCATTTAACATGTTTTAAAAAAAATTCCTGATCCTCCACCTAAAACCTGCCTCTCCTATAGTCTTTCCCACCTCAGTTAGTGACAACTTTCCTTCTAGTTGTTCAAGACAAAAATAATCTTGGTTCCTCTCTTTTTCTCAAATCTTACATCCAAACTGCAGACAAAATCTGGGTGCCAATACCTTTAAAACAACTCTGGAATCCAACCACCTCAGTACCTTCACTGCTATAACTCCATCCCAGGCACCACATCTCTTCCGTAAATTATTACAAAAGACTCCTAACTGGTCTGCCTGGTTTTTACCTTTGCCCACTTTTATTCTATTCTGAACACATGAGAGTTATCCTGTCAAGTAAAATCCAACGTCACTCTGCTCAAAACCTTCCAAAGGACTTTCATTTAAAAAGCAAGACCTACAAGGTCATAATCTAGTCGGTGGCCCCTGGCCAAGTATTTAATCTCACTTTCTACTTTTCTCCTTCCCTCAACCCTGCTACACCCATACTTTTAAGTTCTTCCTCCCTACTCAAGGCTTTGTACTTGCTACTCCCTTAGTCTTGAACCCTTTTGGCACTCCTGATATGATTCAAATGCCCGTTCAAACGTCAATTTCTCAGAGTTCTTCCCTAACTATCTAATTTAAAATTGCTCCCGTCACTCTCTTCTTAACCTGTTTTACGTTTCTTCGAAGCACTTAACACTAACAGACATTAAAGATTTAACATTTTATTGTCTTTTCTAATGGAAGGTAGCAAGTAAACAATTGTTTGCTGTATTCCCAGAGCCTAGAAGAGTGCCTAGCACATGGTAGTCATTTAATAGTTGCTACGTGAAGGGAGAAATAAATGATGGCTTCAAAATTCTATTAGCCTATAACTCTAAATGCTAACCGTGAAGAGAAAAGCATGTGTGAACACTAAAATAGAGCCTCAAATTTGTCTCTCTAAAATAAGAAAGATCTCATGAGTATTTTCTCTAATTTCCTATTTTTGGGAACTTGAAGAGAAAGAACAAATGTGTGATACACTCCTGAGCTTTGTAAAAAACTGTCCACTACTGCTACATACTCCACAACCACACCCACCCCACCTTGTTGGGTGTTGATTAGACTGCATACTTCAAGAAAGACACACAGGGCCGGGCACGGTGGCTCATGCCTATAATCCTAGCACTCTGGGAGGCCGAGGCAGGCGGATGGTTTGAGCTCAGGAGTTCGAGACCAGCCTGAGCAAGAGCGAGACCCCGTCTCTACTAAAAATGGAAAGAAATTATATGGACAACTAAAAATATATAGAAAAAATTAGCCAGGCATGGTGGCGCATGCTTGTAGTCCCAGCTACTCGGGAGGCTGAGGCAGAAGGATTGCTTGAGCCCAGGAGTTTGAGGTTGCTGTGAGCTAGGCTGACGCCACGGCACTCTAGCCCAGGCAACACAGTGAGATTCTGTCTCAAAAAAAAAAAAAAAAAGAAAGACACACAGTATCAGAGACCTAGTCACTAAATACTAATCTGCTACAGAATTTTCCCTTCTTGGGTTTTATTTTAATCCTTAATCTTATTCAGTATGATTATTCTGTAATGACTTTGTAATCTTAAATTCAAAATAATGTCTAAGGCCTCTAGTAATTTAAATGGTTGCTATATAATGGAGAATATATTTATGATCAAATAATGGGTTAGTATCCCTTCTTCTCAAGGTAAAGATGTCACTGAATATGTTATCTTTAAGTGCTGAGCATTTCCTGAGCATCAACTCCTTCCTCCTCCTGCTCCAAGCAAATGCTCTCTCAAGACTGTTTAAGGTGTCCTACAACCTCTCACTGGCCAAATTCTGGTTTCAACCTCATGCTTTACTACTAGCAGTTTTCTGTTTTCTTCTCTTAAATCTGTTACTTCATTAACATCATTACACTTCTCTACAATTATTCTCTGTCCTTTTTGCATGTGTGAAAGCACTCACCTGTCCCCTCAACACATAACCCTTCAAATGCTTATAAAAAGTTTTCATGAATCCTAATTCATTTCAAAAATATTACCTATCAGTGCCCGAATGTTCTTTATATAAATGTCCCAGGCCCTTTTCTCTAACTATTCCTTAAATGAATGTCTCTAGACTCCCTCATCATCCTCTGGACAGATTATATTTTATTATGTTAATAAATCTTTAATGAAATGGGGCATTAAAACTAAATATAACACTCTAAGGTCAATGCAGAACACAGTGGACTGTGTTCCACGATAGGGATGCCATGGTTATCTTAATGCAAAATAAGAACACTGTTCGATTTTTATCTGCCAAGTCTCACAATGGACTTCTCATGAAGACTGTGATTAACAGAAACCTCTCCACAACCAGCTCTTCACCTTCTGCAATGCCTTCTGCATTCAGGAAACATTTACCAAATACCTACTATGTGCCAAGCTCTGAAGTATAATTACTTCAACAAAAATAAATATTTCATCTTATTTGTACCAGCAGCCTGAGAGAAATAATGACCTTTCAATAAATCGATGTACTTATTACATTCTCCGACCTACATGATGTGTAAACCAGAAATAATACGGATAGGGACCAGTGCTTAGCTTTAGTTAGATGGTTCTATCTATTCCCCAGAAGCACCTAGAATAGTGCCTGACATATAGTCTGTACTTAAAGAACTGTTTTTGTTCCCTGCATGAAAGATAAGGAATAATAAAGTTCTGATAAAGGGAATGGGAAGAGAAAGCTGTAGCATCAGATCAGTTCTTAAGTCAGACCCTCAGACTGTACCCTTTTATGTAGCTAGAAGTGACTCCCCACATCATACTCCTAATTATGAGAAAATTCCAACATCAAATATAATTGATGGTATAGCCTTTTGACTGTGGAGGGGGTTGTTGCTCAGATCTAAAAACTTGAGTCACGTATACGTGTATCTGCCATGCTTGCCTGCAAATTCACTTTTGGTGTTTCCCAATGATTGTAAACTCTCCGCGGCCAGGAAATAGTGCTTCTTTACTAAAGCTGTCCACATTTGTACAGTTATTTTCTCAGGGTAAACACACAAGTAGCACAAAACTAAGTGTGCAAAAAAATTTTCCCTTCAAGGAAAATCTCATCCCCTTCATATAAGAGAATTCTGGTTCTCATTTTCTCTAACAAGGTAGAGACTGGTATGAACAACTAGTTCCTAGAAATGCTGATGAGATTCCAACTGCGATTTCTTCTCCTACCTTGTTCTTGCCACATTACCTCTGAAGTCCAGAAATGAATCGGCCACTAATTTATATAACCCTCCAACATGAACGCTTTTCTCCGCACTGGGAATAAACCGACATGCCCAAGGGTTCACATAAAAAGCCTGCCTCCTGAACCAAGGTCTAGGTTCAGTAGCCAAACTTCCGGCTCCACTAACCCTGAAGGGAAGACCCTGCTCAAAATCAGAGGCTGTGGCTTAGGTATCTCCTGAGGGTGGCAATTTCCTTCAAGACATCCTAAGCTGAGTCAACCCTTGATTATTCCAAAGAATGCAAGGGGCCTCAAATCCTGCCTGACGAGAAGAAGTGTAGCACTATGTGACCTTAAGTCCTTCTTGAAGGTTCATTTTCATTATATTCAAAATGGGAATAGTATCTGAATTTGGATAGGTCCTTGTGATGATTGAGTTCGTACATCTAAAATACTTAGTATACTACCCAGCAATGCAAACTCTTAAAAATTAAATAGAATCATCACCATAAAACCGGGTTAGGCCTCCGAACGGCACTTGATTAAGCACTGACTTAGCCAAGGAACGAGGTTTCTCTTAAGTGACCCCCGATCTATTTCCATAGGCGCCACTCTCCACCCTTCTCACTCTTTCACGCCCCTTTGGGGGCCGACCACCCCAAGCCCCCTCCGCTTTCTCGATCGACCCCCTGGGCCAAGCAGACCTGTACAGACACGGGCCCTAGCGGGCCCAAACGCCTCCCAGAGCCCTCGCGACCCGTCTCTCTGCCACAGTGGCCAGCGGCCGCTCCCTTTCTCCCCTCCCCCTCCCCGGCCTCTTCTCCCCCACGCGAGGCCGCACCTGGCCTCCCAACTCCCCCTCTCCAGCCAACCCCCTACCACAGCGCCTCCGACCCCACCCGCCCGGCGCCTGTCGGTTCCAGCTTCCGGGTCTCCCGGTCTTCTCAGAAAGAGCGGCCGCGCCCCCGTCTCCAGCGGCCGTACCAACTAGCCAAGGCCGCCGCCGCCGCCCCTCTGCGGGTCTCCACCGACCAGGCCGATACGAGGCAGCCGCTGCCGGGGCTCTGAGGCGTCCCGGGGAGGCTGCGGTCACGGCCTGCTCTACTGCCCTCCGCGGCCGCCGCACCTCGCTCGCAGGCTCGCGCGGGCCCGGGCCAATCGCACGGACCCAACAAGCCTAGCGAGAGCTGGGGCCCAGTACGTGGCAGGCGAGGGAAAAAGAGAGGCGGGAGCAAGGGGAAAAAAAAAAAAAAAAATCGGTCTTTTCGCCCCGCCTCACTGCGAGCGAGCCAACCCACAACGCATGCGCAAATGCGAGGGGCGCGGGGCTGGCGCGCGCCCAGCTGCGCGGCCGCCCAGTCCCTGCTTTCTCACTGGATGACCGGATGTAGAAAGCGCGAGCTGAGCCGGTGCACGCATGCGCGGGGCGGGACCAGGCCTTCCCGTTTTCCCGAAAGCGTGTTGTTCCAGTCTCTCCCCCGTGGGCGGGGCATAGTGTGCTGTGCTGGACTTTTCTGAGAGCTGGTTGTGTATAAGGCTGTCCAAGTTAAAGTGGTTTTTGTTCTAATTTTGTGACCATTGTAGTTCCACTAGTCACATCGCGAAGAAACTGTTTTCTCGCTTTCCTTCTACAAATCCATTCATTGTTAGGTGCGTACGCTTTGCCACGCACTGCTCCAGGAGTAGGAATGAATCAGTTTGTGAGCACGGAGTTTCCAAGTGAACAGGAGACCGGCAGCATCTTTGAGACACGACAAATCTGCAACTGTGTTAAGGGCTGGGAAATTGGGCTAAGGACTCCAGAAGTGTTTTTTGGAGACTAAGGCATTTGAGCTTGACCTGCATACTCTTCCCTTCTCCCTTAACCTGCTCAGATCCGAATACAGTATGGGCAAGTGGGAATTTATAACCAAGGAGCGGGGGTTGGTCAGTGGTTGAAAATCACTAACAGGAAACATAAGGGGCAAGGGGGATTCTGGCCAAACTGAGCCAACAGAAATCTAGCAGAAGATAGGACTGAGTGATCGGAAGTCACCTAGGCAGGGGTCCCCAACCTATGGTGAGTTGTATAATTATTTCATTTTATGTATTACAATATATTGCAATGTACTAATAATAGAAATAAAGTGCGCAATAAATGTAATGTGCTTGCATTATCCCCAAACTATCCCTCCCCGTTCCCGGGTTGTGGAAAAATTGTCTTCATGAAAATGGTCCCTGGTGCCAAAAAGGTTGGGGACGGCTCAGGATGGTGGAAGATGAGGAACCTGATCAGATATGAAGGGTGGGGGGTTCTTACTAAACTGACTTAGTGGAGTATTTTGCTAAAACTGGATTTTGCAAGGAAGTGCACAGATGGGCTAGGAGAAGGTTCAGGAGCCTGACTAAAGTTTGTCCAAGCAATGAATCTTTGTCACTTCTAAGGTGGAGACTAAGTAGATAGGTAAAACATTTTGATCCTACCTCGTCCCCAGTCGTTCACTGAAATGACGGACCTGGAGTAAAGTATTTTTAGGAAGAGAAGTCATGTTTTTTTAGTACTTAAATAGTGTGATCTTTTTCAGTTACAAGTCTCTGAAAATTCTGTTTGAGAGTGAAATATGTGAGTTTAGAATGCTATTTGCCTCCGATTGGTATTTTCCAACAGTTGTATTGCCCTTTGAGTAATTGTTTGCAGGGACTGGTAAGCAGAGGACTATAGAAGTTATGAAGAAGAGTTCCTCATTTTTCTCCAGAGACTGTGGTTCATTGCTTGTTGTTTAAAACTGCGTACTATAGTTTGGGGAAATGCACTGCTGTCTCATGATAATCTGATGCCTTTGAGATGGTTTAGGATTGGGTAAAACCACACCCATATGGGCAGAGGTAAAATATTCCCTGAAAGAAGTGAATATACCAATGTTAATGTTCCTAAAAAGAGGTCAAACCCTGAGGCCAGAGATGAGGAACGTTGGCCTGGAATGGGATGAATGTCTCCTCTTTAGACCCCCAGTGAGGGGGAACCCAGGAGTCCTTCCACTTAGGAGAAATAAAGTGCCCTCTGTTACATTGTGGTCAGCTGCAAGCCAGGAAGAGAGGCAGCCATAGGCTGGCCTGTGGAGGGGCTGGGGCTCATGGACTCTGAAAGCAACTTGAGGTTCTTTATGTTGTAATTCCCTCATGCGTCACCCCCAAGCAATCAAAGGTCTTGTTTAATATTAAAACTTATTCCCAGGTACCACAGGTTGTGGTGATTCCTCAAGTCAAAGCTGACACACATCTCTGTACTTAATCTCCCAATAAATATAGGTGATAACTGGCCACAGAGCCATAACCCGAATTGAACCACTTAACCTCTCTTACCAAAAACATAATTTCTTCCACTACGTGTGTAGTTTTAGTTACTACTGCCTTTAATTAATGAAGCCAAAAAGGCTAAGTTATCATATGATTATCACTAAGCATTTATAGTCATACTTATTGGGAATAAGCATCAAACATGCCATTAAGAAGATTGTTCTAGGTAGTCTATAAGTAATCACACCTTTAAAGTGCTGATAGTCAGAAAACATCTTACTCTCTTTGTTTGTATGGAGTGTAGAAAGGTACTAAACCAGAGTAAGTGAAATTCATGCTCACCTGAACTTCTGTCCCACATCCAGGCATTTTGGTTTTAAATGAACACTGAGAATACTCTTGAATCAGAAAATACCACTTAATGGTAGTACAGAATATGAAAGTTGGAAATAAGGAGAAGCAGTGGAAGGAAATATCTTTGACACAGCCTGTAGCAAGGGGAGATAAGAGGCTCTGCAGTTTGAAGTTTACTTCCCATAATTCATCTGAATTATCCTGTGGTTATAAGAGAGGCAGTCAACCCACTTACCACCTGCTATTTCTCCCCAAAGGTCTGTGTAGCTAAAACTCCTCAAATGGAAAAGGGAGAAAACCCTAAGATTGAAACTGGGGGATTCACAGACTGGGTGGGAAACAGGACAGAGAATATGAGTCCTATAAGCAAGTTAGATAAAATCTGTTTCATCATGTTTTCCTTTAGCAGTTAGTGTAAAAATAATTCTCAAATTATTTTGAAAATTTCAGTCATCTCATTTACCCTCAGGGGAACCAAAGAAATATGTGCATATCTCCTTGGGTGAAAATTTCAAATAAGTTATGTACCTTCCTCAGAATCCCCTCTGTTGTGGCAGCAGTCACCTATATAAGAGAATTACAAACAGAAGAGAAATCGTGAGGACCAAACAGGGGTCAACTGGTCAGCTCAGCCTCACCTCCACTGGCCAAACAGAAAGATCTGCTTGTGTGAACAAAGCTAGCTGCCACCCCATGCAGAGATAATGGAGAAGGAGAAAGGAATGATATTCTTACTGTGTGCCTCTAAGCTAAGCAAAATACTTCAACCTGTTATACCAGCTGCACGGCATTAAGACCCTAAAATGGTTTTGCCTTACCCGGGGGCTCTACATCCAACCTTTCTTTAGAGTAATTTCTCCTGAAGGCAGTTCTCCTACATTGTGTATCCTTAGAGGTTAGTACCTCCTAGGTATTCAATACGTATTTATTGAATAAAAGAACGAAAACTAAGTTTCCTGCCACTTTACAAGGCAAACTTCCAGAAAAAGGAAGCAGCTATCTGGTGAGTTCCTAGCTCCTTAGCAGTGTAGGATTTTGTCTGAGTAATTTGAAATCACTCACTTTTCTTCATTTATGTCCCCTGGAGACAGTGCTAAGTCACCACTGTGCTGAGTTACCTGTCAGAATTTAGGTTGAAAGAGGAATGCTATTACGGGCTGACTTGTACCCTGTCCCCTGAAATTCATGTGTTGAATTCCTAACCCTCGGTACATCAGAATGTGAATTATTTAGAGATAAGGCCTCTCAAGAGGTGATTAAGTTAAGAAGAGGCTGTTAGGGTGGGTTGTTACTCACTATGACTGGAGTCCTTAGAAGAAGAAAAGATAGGACACACAGAAATACCAGGAATGAGTGTACACAGAGGAGAGACCATATGAGGACGCAAGAAGGCAGCTGTCTGCAAGCCAAGGAGAGAGCCCTCAAAAGACATTTTGGCCTCAGACTTCCAGCCTCCACAACTATGAAAAAATAAATTTCTGCTGTTGAAGCCACCCAGTCTGGTATTTTGTTACGGCTAGTAGACTAATACAAATGGCACAAGATGTGCAAAGAAGCCATTACAACTTTTCATTTGATCAAGAGAAGCTCTGTGCAGCTCTTTTAAGAAGCCTAGTTGCCAGACTCTAGGAATCATGCACATCAGAGATAAAGTCAAATTCTGGGTACTTGGAGGCACTCACATCTCTAATCTAATATTTATGCCAATGATCCTGTGTTTAGTCCCTCAATATAAATGCATAATTAAACAGAGCATTCTCAAAAAGCTTTTGCAATAAAGACACGTTCAAAAGATGCAAAGTAAAACCACACAGAAATGCCATTTCTCACATATGTTTGATAAAAAGAAAAAAGTTTCATAACACTTTGTGGAAAACAGTGTGGGGCAAAATAGACATTTATACTTTGCTGTAGGGGCTTAAATTGATACAAACTATTTAAAGGGTGGTGTAGCAGTATCCACCAACATCTAAAATGCCTTATGACCCAACAATTCCATTTCTAGTGTACCAGGGAAACCCTTGCACATGAGAACATTCCCATTGTTCTATTTTCAAGTGAAAGACTATAGAGCAATTACAAGAAACGCATCCATACAGTTAGACCTCAAAAACATTTTGTCGATTACCAAAAACAAGTTTTAGAAAGTCACTGTTCAGAAAATAGTTAACATAGCAGCCCAGGACTGCTATCCATAGAAAGACCTGCTTGCAAGTTTGGCCCTTGGCTGGTATCTGGGAAACTGGATTTCAGGAGTGTTCTTACCATTCTTTGACAAGAATTGTGCACTGTGTCTAAACTGTTTGTATACAAACAATGTGGTTTATGCAATGTGGTTTATGTCATTTGTGCTTTCTGGGAGTCTGGAATTTTGGTACATGCCAGGCAGTTGGTACCTGTGTGACCAGCTCCCTCTCAAAACAATACCCTGAGTACTGAAGCTCCTCTGAGCTTTCCTAGTAGCCAATATTAGACATGTTGTCACAGTTCGTTGCTGGAGGAATAAAGTGCATCCTGTGTGACTCCACTGGAAGAGAAATCTTGGAAGCTTACTCTGCTTTCTTCTGCACTTCTCCCCACACGACTTTTCCCTTTGCTTGTTTTGCTTTGCAATTGATCCTTTTGTAATAAATCACAGCTATGAATATGGCTCTGTGCTGAGTCTTATGAATGCTCCTAGTGAATAACCAAATCGGGGTGGTCTTAGGGACCACTGGCACAGTTTGTTATACCATTTATGTAAAGAAAAAAAGTACACAGACAA